TGTCTTAATTTCCAGGAGATCTATTTAGAGTGGGGCACGGCAGGAGTTGCCTTCCGCATAGATGGATTCCGTTGCAACTCATTGTTCATTGACGCATCAGTGACCTCCTTCTATTGTTCTCGTCTATTGGAGAAAAGTCATTAACATAGAACAAATTGCGTCTTGAAGATCATTTGTTCTAATTGCGCACATTACTCGCATACGACTTCTAAATCAGGAAATAAGATTTTACCGCTAATACGACAGCGGAGACCCTGTGGAAGTGCGGAATCTAATTAGCCCCCGCCCACTCACTCAAATCTCTTACTTTTCTTATTAAAAACTTACACAAAACTAAGGCGTAGCCTTTTTCATAATGTTATATGGTTCCTAAAAGGGAATTATACTTAATATGAACAGCTCGCCTCGAAATAATAGGAATTGTTGGGCATTCTTTGTTTTTCTTTTTTTAGAATCCCGGGGTTTATCAAAAACTGCAAACTTTTTAGACATTCTTTCCGTGTGTACAGTCTTCCTAACTGAAGAATTTAACAACGAAATCAGGAAATGTTCATATAGAATAGAATAGATTGTTTATGCTTTCGAGTTGGAACTACAGTTGGATCTTTCATTCATTTAACCAGCTTAGAAGGATCAAATGGAATATAGAGTTTTTACTAGTAATGTTACATTATGATTACTTGGAGAATACGTGTATATCTATGCTTATGTATTTACATTGAATTATTCTTTAATACTCTTTTTAAAATACCAACATTTTCAATTGATNGGGCAATACATATACTACATGCATATCTATTCTTATCTAGTTACATTGAATTATTCTTTAATACTCTTTTTAAAATACCAACATTTTCAATTGATTTAACAATATCATCATAACTAACATTCAATTGAATTAATTTATTACCAATCCCACTATTGAATTTTAATTTATTATTGTCATTAATGACAATACAACTTGAACTTTCTAATGCAGTAATAATTTCAATAAATTCACCATTTTTAAGTACACCAATTAATGAATTTATATGATCTTGTTTTCTATAATAATCATAAAATAAATTAACGGTGATATGGTCAGTATTACCTTCGTTTTCTAATTTATAATTAAATAGTTGACATAATATTGCTTTTTGTAATAAATTTAAATTACCAATTGATGAAGAATTATCAAATGATAAATTACATATCTTAGCAATATGTGGAATCATTACTTTTGGATATTCCTTCTGGAAACTTTCATAGCTTTGGAAAGGTGGCAATGATCTTTCAATTAATTCGATTGATTTATAACAAATATCAAATGCTTTTCTTAAATCTCCTGATATTGATGCACTTTTCCTACAACATAATTGAATTGCCAGTGGATGGAAAATCGGTATTTGTCCATTCCCATCTTCTTCATCCTCGGTAAGACTTTTCAATCTCGATATTATAATTGATTTGATTTGATCCGCAGTATATGGTAAAAACTGCATAGATTCTGGAGTTAAATTATTTCGTATCAATCGAGGTAAGAATTTATCAGTTAAATCCAAAGCATTAGATATTCCTACCACTACCAACTTCGTCTTATATTGATGACTATTCTTTTTATTTGCACAATTAAATAACTGAAATAAAACCTGTTGATCTCTAGTTATTAACGAATCCAATTCATCAAGTATAACCACTAATGAATCCACTTCATCTTCACCTACACTCAAACATTTAAATAAATCATCACTGGTTTTCTTCCTGCCTAACAAGATGGATAACCCACCTTTAAGTCCACTAAATATCTCATGAAAAACGTGTTCTGGGTTATTCAAAGTCATACAATTAATCTTCACAAACCTAACCTTCTTTTTCTCATCCTGTAATTTCTTCTCGAGATATTCAATAGATAAACTAATCTGAGCAGTTTTCCCAGTCCCAGGAGGTCCGGAAATATATAAACTATTACAAAGACTTTCATTTATACTGTTCACAAAAAAGTCATTCAAATATTTCCCTTCGCTTTCTCGACTGACTAAATGTGATTCATGATTGACCATGTTTGTCCCTCGCTGAAATAGTGCCTTTGCTCGGGAATATATGCTTGTGGATTGTTTCTTTGGTGATTTGGTGGGTGTTGGTGGTGCTTCGAATGTGAGCTTCTTCCTGCATGATTGCTTGGTTGGGGATGGGGTGTCTGATGATAACTTGGTTCGTTTATTGGTTGGGGTTTTGGTAGGGGTTAATAATTGGATATTGGAAATATCCCTAATTGTTCTCTTTCTAGTTGGTGTTCTTGAACTCATTGCATAGATGTTGGATTATGAATTAATGAAAATAAGATGTTAAAGAAAGATGAAAGATGAGATCAATTTGGGTATTTAAGCACATCTTTAGAAGGCTGGAGAGACACGAAAATTAAAAATTAATTTAATTACGTGCATAATTTTTTTTCGCGTTTTTGCAATTATCATTATTCCTAATTAGGAAATGCAAGTTCACCCGACAAAAATTTATAGACAGGAATAAAGATCCCCAGACAACCAACATTTCTGGTTGTACCACGGCCAGTTTTGGTATTAAACTCACATTCCACAACTTGCTTTTGACCAAAGGATTCTTTTGCTTATGTTGGCCAAAGCACCTTTGAATGGCTTATTTTTTTCTCATTCTTTTTCAATAAATACTGCTGGAGGTTCAGTTTCCAGTTGTCTCGAGGAATGATTTATTGATGGAAGTATTATCCATTTCTATTCCCTGTCTGATTGTGAAAAGTGTTTTCGTAGTGTGCTGAGAAGGATGAAATAAATAAAGTACAAGAAAAAAATTGGGGAATAAAATTGAGACTAAGCTCACACGACCAGAAACCACAATATGACTAGACATCTTTAAAGTGTCATACTAGTCCCTCCAACTGGTAGAAAAGAATCAACTGGTTTCCTTTGCGCCATCAAAGGGCCGATATTTCAACTGTGAAATAAGGATATTACCAAAAAATGACTTCAATTAATGACGANAAGCACCTTTGAATGGCTTATTTTTTTCTCATTCTTTTTCAATAAATACTGCTGGAAGTTCAGTTTCCATTTGTCTCGAGGAAGGGCCAATATTTCAACTGTGAAATAAGGATATTACCAAAAAATGACTTCAATTAATGACGATTTAACAGATCTATGGCACATTTTCGCCTTCTCACATTGAAATCCCATTCAACTAGAAGACCCTTCTCCACTATTGAAACCCTTTCAATTCTTCCTAAATGACCCACCACCTTTGAAATCCCATTAAATTCTTCGCACCTGTCAATTCCCATCCGATGCTTGCCAAGCGACCCATCTCCACAACTGAAATCACATCAAATTGCACTCAATCCCTGCACCACCATTCAAATATACATCCAATTCTTGATCCCACTCTTCATCCTAATCAAATTCCTACTTTTCATCTTAATTCCAACTTAGGTCAAGTAAACCCTTCTTCCGACGAAATCAGATACGACCCGATCACACAAACTAACCGCTGATCAGGTAGCTAATTAGTATGAAGGACTATACCGATCCACGAAATTCGGCCAAAATCTTTCCAAATTGTATTACCTCTTATTTCTCATCTTAATTGAAGTCCACGCTTATAATTCTTCCCAAATTCTGTCAGCAATATTGAAATCCATATCCGATTCTTCACAAATTCTCTATCACCATAATTGAAATCTTAAACCAAACTCTACCCTTAGCACAATTCAATTCTGTTCAAGTTATTCCCAAAGTCTCTATCATTATAAATGAAACACCACAATCAAATCGATAATCCTACTTCGCTTTCTAATTCCAACCTAGATTGAACTAAACCTTCTTCCAATGAAATCAGATAAAAATCCCATCTCACAAACTAACCATTGGTCAGGTGGCTAATTCAGTATGACAGGATTACACTGATCCATGAAATCCAGTAAAACTCTCCCCAGGTTGCATCACCATTGTATCACCACCAACTCTTCATGTGAATGTTTGATTCTTTAAATTTATTTTGTGGTTTTGTTTTTGTGTCATATTGTAATATTGGTTGGAACTTTGAATTAAAAATAATGATAAATGAAATATGGGAAAAGATTGAAAGATCTATAAGTGCAGTGATTTTCAAATGATACAATTAGGCTAGTAAGTATAGCAATGAGAATTCTTTTTGTGGGATGAATAATGGTCTTAGAGATTCCATAGTTCAGATTGTTCTAGTTTCAGTCTCAATTCCAGTCCTTTTTGATGTTTTAAATTCTTGACAGGAAGGAAGCTTCATTGTCAACCTCAAACGAGGTACTAGTAGCAAGGTTTGTTGATTAAGGAGTAATCATTTCGGAATATTGGTGAAGGAGTAGTGATACAGATTGTGCTTGGAAAAAGTATCAATATCGTTTCTGTGGTTTGATTTTATTTCTGTGGAATTAATTGACCCAAATAAGTTTCTTTTCCCTAACAACAACTTCACGCCAACAATACTTCTTTGAATATTCAATGACTCAATAGCATTTTCTGGATTGATGAGATTGATATGTTTGGAAAAATTGTGTATATTATTCACTTAGCGGGTTTCTTTGTGAAAAGTAAAGAAGAAAAGAGAACGATAAATGAAACTAACATTCTAATTTTTTTGCAATCTGGCATCTAAATAAAGCTGCAAATTTTAGTCATTCTGGAACAAAACAAAAAAAATAATAAAAAAATATAGGCCATCATAATCAACATGGACCAAGACAAACCAATTCTATTCACGATGGTTAAGCATAGAGATTAAGGATATTTAGGAAGGGACATTTTCTTGTAATTGATTTCTCTTTTGATGTATGAATAATCAGCGAAATTAATTGAAGAAATACATTTTGTGTTGGAAAGATGATAACTTACAATGGATATAATAGTAAAAAGCATATCTGATACCCATGTATTCACTTACTGAATAGTGGCTAAATCCAGGATCGTGAAAGCCTGATCTGTCATTGTTGATAATAGGATGGAATGGGTTGTAAAAATAAGGAATTTCTCGTTGGCACAATTCCCTAATGTGAGACTGCACCAAGCTTGTTTCGAGAGCGAAAATAGCAATTATATTGACTATCAACTATGCTTCCATCTTATCAAGTGAACTGACTAGTTCAGTTTTATCAGTTCTTTTATTATCACATTTTGTCTTGGTCGTTAAAAGAGAGCATTTAATTTTGCAACGGATATTTCCTTACAACCAAATTGAATTTGCTTCTGTATTTTTTTTGGCAACAAGTACTTTATAAATAAACAGACCTTATAGACATCTTCTTTTTGTCATTATAAGATATAACACTCTTGGTGAGAAGTTTGGGATGTCAATATATTTATCTGTATACTGTTGGTAAGGGAAAATAGTTCTGTTGAGATGAAAGTGGACTAGGGGTTGAAGTAAAGGATGTCAAAATGAAAGAAGGAAATCAGAATAATAGAAAGTGGAGATGAAAATGATAAACTTTTTATCAAACTGTTTGACTGCTGTGTATACACCTTACATAGACACCCTAGACCGTTACTAATTTTAACAGAACCACTAATTTCATTATCTTCCTTATATTGTTTAATTTCCCGATCAAATGTTCTTAAGTAAGGTTGAGAAGTATTCTTAGAAAACCACGCCCACTTCTATCATAGATCCATACATCTCTAAAACAATTCATCTTCTAAATTATTTTGCATGGGTCTAGTGTTTCGTATCCGCCCCTTTTCGAAAAACCTAGCTCTACTATTTCAATATTCATTAACCGTGGGAAGGGCCCTAGTAAACTCGATGATGCCCCTGCACAGACCTCTCGGTTCCGAATTCAATCTGGCAAATTCTGTTGTGAATATTAACCAGATTACATCAAATTCACCCAAATCAAGCTAGCTCTCTAGGGACTATATTCCGAAACAAACTGAGGGCGACATTTTGTATCTTGGGAGTATATTGGCTAGAACTAATATTCCGAAATTCGGATGTGGGATAAAACGGAACAAAATATAAACAATGGGAATTGAGCATAAAATATTTTTTTTCGCAGCCATTTTTCAAAACCTTATTTCCTTATCTTCAAATCCCGCAATAGAACAGAAGAATAACATACCAAACGACATTTACAATTCATAAACTTTAAACTACAATTAATAATAATGATATTTTAATTAATCGTTTTTTATGTATTTTTTGTTTTTTAAGCTAGATATATATAAGCTAAATCGTATGCACAAATAGTAAAGTATGTAAAAACATATAAAATATAAAAATAAATTGGATGCAAATTTTTTTGCATCAACAAATAATATAAGATCCCTTATTTGTTGATTCTCTAAAATATACAAAAAAACACATAATTTCATTCATAAAAAACCAAAATCCCAATTAATAATAAGTAATAAAACATAATAATAAATCATTAAACACGTAAACACATTAAATTTTTTTTTCATAAGATATGGGAAATGATTTTCAAAGTTAACAAGGCGATATAAGTGTGTTTTTAATACCATTGAAGAATCAATAAAGACCTCCAAAGTACTTTAATCAAGTTCAAACACCAGACTTGTAATTAACCTTAAAATCATTTCTCAAAACATTCTTTAAAGCTTCATTCTCCTTTTGCATTTCCTTAAGAGATTTTCTCAATTCACCATTTTCATTTTGTAAGAATTCTTCAATAACAACCAAAGCACGATTCTTTCTTTCTAAATCATCCATAGACATTGGTTGTTGTTCTTCCTCTTCTTCTTCGTCATAAGATTCATCATCTTCCATCATCATGGCATCCATGTCTTGTTTTTGCTCTTCCGTCAAGTAAGAAAGCTTATCCTTCATGTTTTCATCAACTAAACCTTGAGATAATTTACGCTTCTTGTCTTGAAGGTAAGAGTCTTGGTAGCTCATCTTGAAAATACAATAATTATAATATAAGGGGGAATAAAAACTTCTAAAAGAAAGTTTAAATAAGTAAGTTAAAAGTTGTTGTTGTTGTTGTTGCTGTTGTAGTTCAGAGTATTAAATACAATGATCCGTGAAGAGAAAAAGAAGAAAAAGAGGAAAATGTAAATTTTAAAATTGAGAAATTCGATTGACTATTTATAGTTGTTGATTTCGGGAAGTTTAGTTTGCAGCGCTTAGTAAAATAAAATAGGGGGGGAAGTGGGAGAAATGTTTAGAGATTTGAAATTAAAACTTGATTGGATGTGGGGAGGAGGGGGGTTCTTAGAAATAATTAAGGAATTTTTTATCCACACGACATTTTTCTTAAACAATCAAAACCTAGCACCCCCTAACTTTTACGTCATTATTTCTGGTGGCGGAGATTTATTTGTATGTTTCATCTCACCCACATTTTTTTATAAAAAAAAGTCACCCCACAAAAAAGAAATTTCCCTAAAAATAAAAAAGCATTTCTAAACGACGACATTTTTATAATCTTTAGTTGATTTCAATTGAAATTGTTTTGCAATTATTAAATTCGAAACAAGAGTCGGCATAAACCGATTTCCTTTTGTTTATTAAGTTATTATACCGATGGAATAACTTTATTAGTATTTTGTTGGGTCTTTAGATCGGCACGGAAAGATCTTTCAAACAAGTCTAATATGTCTTAAGTAAATTTATAAGAGAGGGGGCGGCCGAACGTCATACCTTAGCCGATTTTTTGGAGAGTGCTTTTTAGGTGCCCCAATTAAGAAATCCATAGAAAATTCCATACATTTTACGGGATATTTTTCGTCTAGACATACATAAACTTGGCATAATAGTCTGATGGCTAATTAAATCGTAAAAGTCATTCACAATTTTAAGTGCTACAGGATCGAATGATTTCTGGGTAAGAATTGTACGACATTTGGGATGTACAAGTAGCGCACACACGACCAATTTTTGATATGTGGAGATGGATTTTAAGCTTTCCCCCTTTTTTCGATTTTGAAAGTAAAATCTCTTATGACTCAATAAATACTAAGATCATTAAACAATGAGTCTTTCACATTGATTTAGATTTTGAATGAATGGCATTAAGCGATATTGGAAAATTTTGTTGTTTATTAAATCAATATACATAAGAGGAGATGCTATTGACGATTCAAACAACGTACATATATTGATGCTGGAACACACATGTACAGCATATCTATATTTGGTCGCCTTGACATGATAAACAAATCAAATATGACCATGTCCTGCAGATGTGTAATTTAATTAATCCATTAAAAAATACCACATCTCATCCTGTGGATTAAGTGTGGTACGATATCGACTTGGTCCATGAGTCATTCAAGGCTCCAGGAGCCCGACCCCCGTATGACTATCTCTATTAACCCTCTTGAGAAAATTTTGACTAATTTTCTACTTGATTCGTCAAAATATCTTCCAAATGTTTCTTTAACGCAGGATTCTTTCTCACAATCATCATCATATCTAGGGTATCAATCAGATTCCTTCCGGCATGTTTTGCAAACGCTTCCAATCCATCACCTAATGAAATTGATTATATACCAATTCAACTAATGATGAAATAAATGCAGGTGTGACAGTTATGTGTCCTTGTTCGATTGTGCTTAATGATTGAACTTTATCTTCGACTATTTTGGCTACGTGGAGGTATATGGCTGATTTCAATTGATGTGAGATTTCGTCTTGATGTTGTTGAGTAGACATTTTCGTAATTGATGTATTTGGTTGAGAGGAGAGCAGTGTGTTTGTAGGTAGTCTATGAACATTTTGAAACGCGTTTGGCTGAAATGTTTTTTGTCAGTGGGAAAAAAAGATGCGCGTTTGGTTGCAAAACTGTTTCCAAAGACAATTGCACTGTACTACTCTAGCATCATAATCTGCCTGGTCAACCATTTACTTATTTATCTATTATCTATTAACAAGAGTCTGTTGTTGAGAGTAGAGAAATATGCCATTTAACGGTATCAAAGTTATATAATACTAATTTCTTTTTTATGGACCATAGACTAGCAAAATACAAAATTAAAGACTGAATATTATGATTTGGTAAATACGCTCTATTGGTATCTTAGCTAGATTAAATTCCAATTTGTTTACTCTACTGGCGTTCGATATATCAATGTGAAGAAAACTTTTACAAAGTCTTAAGAATAAAGAATTCTCTTGATCAGAAACCCCCATTTTTAAATATTTTGTTGGATTTTAATCTACATTTTCTTGGGAGGCTGCAAATTTCTTGTAATCCCTTGAACAAGAATCCTCTTTTATAGAGCAATAATCAATTGTCTCCTAAGTCCAACTAACCTTAGCATAAGACTATTCTGTCTAATTCCTTAAGGTCAGAATAATTTTTAGTATTACTAAGGAATGTTTTTTTATCTTGATTTGTTTGCAAAAAGAAACTGTAATTTGCAACAACATGGTATGAAGTGAGAAATGCCGCTTGAACCGTAATGAGGCAATACAAAATGAGCTAGATCCTACAGAATACTAATTAATTCGTTCAACGCTTGCAATTATGGCGTTATACGATGATCAGAGTTGTTCTACATTTGAGATGCCTCAAACATTGCTGAACTGCTTGTTTCCTAGAAGGTTGCCATTCGTGGTGTATTCGTGTGGAATACTTCGTGATTTTTTTTTCCATTGTCCGAAATGAATACTGTTTACTTTTCTTACAAGCCATCCCTGGATGTAGATGTCTGAGGAGAAATCGGCTCATACCACATGTTTAAATGTTTACGGAAATAGTGGAATCCTGAGCCCCGGCTCGGAATCAATCAAGTCTAGGCAGGCCGTGTTATTTGTGTGGCTGATGGTCTAGGCTTACAAATAGCATATTAGCTAATACAAACTAAGTTGTTTGTAATTGAGGGTGTACATATAAGACAAGTCCTCCTTTTAGTCTCATTCAAATTTATGAAAATGGTGGCAATGTTGGTGATGACAAAATATCCATGTGTGGATTGTTCCAAAATGATGCAATTGTACATAACACAATTGTGGTATCGTTTTAGGCAATCTGAATGAAACAGTGAATAACAAAAGAATACTGATTATTAAAAGCCTCAAAACGCATAGTCTTATTATTTTTTGTACTACATCCTGTATCAACTAGAAGCAATCTAATTGATTGTTTAACAACAATCCATTGTTGCTATTGATTAAGACTCGCTACATCTGTAGACCAAATAGTCACTCAATCTAATTGCTAAAGGCTGAGTGATGATTTGCTCCATAGCACCGACTAAACGAAGTCTAAGCGAGAAAAACTTGAACTAACAGAAAGACGTATTTGTAGTTGTAGTAAAGTTAAATCCATACGGCACGAGAAATTGTTAATCTAAGGAAAAAGAATGTTTTTCTATTGTTTCTCGGTCATGCCCGTCGTGTCCGTCGTGCCCCCCCTCCTTCCCCCCTCGCCCTAAAACACTAAAACCAGTACTAAGTCCCCCACGATTCAAACAGGAAATGATTCCTCACTAAAGAAAAAATATGAAATTTTACCCAACAAATTATTAAGGAAGAAAATTACTTGCTAACAAAAATATCAAGAGATTGGAAAGTTTGTTCAATAAGAAGGGACACAATATAATTTGTAATCAACGATGGCTTATTTTACGTACGATATGAATATATACGATGCAATCAGATGATAGCTGTTGTATTGTGTTGTACATTGCCAATCAGGCTTTCTCTATTTTAAGTTTTAAAGTTTATGGAGTAAATTTATTAATTAATTACTTGTAATTACTGCATTTCTATGTTTTCTCGTTCTGTCAATTTATTTACTCGGACTGAATTTTTTTTTTTTTTTTGACAGAAGGAATTTGAGAATTTTATATTTATAGAACTTTAATTACTACGACGGAAGAATTCCTTTGGTCGTTTATTTTAGAGACAATAACTAGAAACAAGATATAGGGGTAGTTGTAGTATATTGTACTATTTACATCAATTATCTACTACTTACAATTATTTTGATATCTTAACTTTTTTTTATACCGAGAATTCAAAGCTCCCTTCCAACCCCGAAATATAACAACGACCAACCGAAAATCAAACGTCTTTTTTTTTTACAACACAATTCCATAGTCAACCAAATTCTATAATTAAATTACATACAATCATCCCTCTCCACACACTCCAAAGAAGAATACAGGGATTCATAAACTAAAATACATTATACAATAAACTCAATACATAGATGAGATAGATAGAAACAACATATTACATACATACGATACACAACCATACTAAAACCCAAAGCTAATTCATTCATATATAAATGTCAATTAATAATATATCCGCATATGCTCACAGTGCTGAACCGTCATGTTCTAGCGCGGCATCAAAGTCATCTGAAGCTTCCGCTTCAACTACAACAAGCACATTAAAAACCCGAAAAGGACTATCTTATGTCATTGGTAATACCAACAATAATGACAATCATATACTTCCAATAAATGCTGTTCAATATTCTAAACTTACCAATCAACTATATACTGCAGGAAGAGATGGCACTGTTAAAGTATGGAACCATAATATATCCAATAAACAACAAGAAACGACAATGAATAATAATACGGATGATGAAAATCATGAACATTTTAATGATTATCAAGATTTAGATGAAAAATTATTACGACTAGAAACTTCAATTTCTTCAAATCCAATTCCATATAATTTAACCTCATTTGAAAATAATTTCCAAATTGTAAATAATTATAGTAATCATTTTGATTGGATTAATGATATTCAATTAATTAATGATGATAAAACTTTAGTATCATGTTCAGCTGATTTATCTATCAAAATTATTGACTTGATGAATGCTACAACTGATGTTCACTTTAATACTAAAAACGCTTGTATACACAAATTCCCCAATGTTCATACTGATTATATCAAGAAATTATCCTATTCAAATAGAACTCCCAATCAAATAATAAGTGGTGGTTTAGATGGGAAAGTAGTAGTTTGGGATTTAAACAATTTAAAACCAACGCAAGTCATTGAAAATAAACCACTGGGATCATTACCAAGTTCAATATACTCTTTAGCAAATAATAATTCAAGTCTTATAAGTGCCGGTGGACCCAATAATACGATCAATATATTCGACCAAAGAACTTCCAGTCCTTTTATTAAGAAATTAATTGGACATCAAGATACTATTCGATGTTTATTAATGAGTGATCGATTTATTTTAAGTGGATCTTCTGATACAACTATTAAATTATGGGATTTAAGAACATTTAAAGTTTATAAGAATTTTGATATTCATGATTGTCCAGTTTGGTCAATGACTGCAGAAACTTGTTCTATTAGCAATGATTTTTCCCAATTTTATTCAGGTGATAAAGAGGGGAATATTATTAAAACTGATTTGTCTTATATATCAACGAATGTTACCCATGGTGAGCACTTTTTCGATACTTTTACCCCGAGTGAAAATCTTCAACTTGATGAAAAATTAGGTATTTCAACTATTGTTGCCAAAGGTGATTCCCCCATTCTTTCAATATGTCTTGAAACTAATGAAGATACGATATTCACATCAAATTATGAATCATTAACTAGATTTGTCAATCCAAATACTAATCAATTAGCCCAATATCAATATTTACGTAATTGTTTGGATTATTCGATTAGTCGTGATGCACAACTCAAGGATGAATTAGCTAGTGGATTAGGTGATAATGCTACCATTCATACTGGAGGTGCACCTCAAAATGATGACTTGAATTCTGATTTTTATGATTTAATTAGTCATTTATCAACTGAAACCGTGGCAAATATCAATGATTTACAATCTACATTCTCCCATGTCCATTCTGGAGAAGGAACACCACCCACCGATCATGCTGTGGATGGACATGGCGATGATCATGACTATAATAGTAGTAGTGATAATGACGATGACGAGAACGGATTGAATAAAGAAGACTATACATCTATGTTTTTGAATGTTAATGGAGGTCCATCACATGAATTCATAAATGCATTTCAAGAAGATATAGAATTTGAAAACTTCAATTTTTCAGAAGAAACCCCCAATATTCATATCACATTGATGAAAGCTACTCAATCACTGAATTCACAAGCTATATCAATGGGAACAAGATCATCAATACAACGAAAACAAGATAATTCTTCAAAGTCAAGCATCCTGAATGAATTCCTTGACCTTACTCCCATTGAAATCTTACTAAATCCAATCCCGCAAGAACAAATCACGTCAGTTCCATTCAATACAAAACCAATATCAGAGTTCGATCTAATTCCCAAAAGTGTAGTTTCGAAACGAGTCTTCAACAATAAGAGACATGTGATTGTATTATATCGTAATGGAGATATAAAAATCTGGGATCTTTTGACATGTACTCAATTAAAATTTTATCCTGGAGAATGTAGTGATGTAATGTTGACCAACAAGGAGATTGAAAGTCGATTACGAGATTTGGATTCCTATTATCAAAAAGAACAAGGATCAGATACGTTGAATAATTGGTGTGATGTTGAGATCAAATCGGGGAAATTGATGGTGACTATCAAGGAAGGCTCGTTGATGAATCTGGAAATTTATTATGATACTTTAGTGGCTGATTATCCTTTCTTGAGTGTGGATGATCCCGTGAATCAGGCGAGATATCATGGGAATAAGATAAAATATAATGTTGATGATCGATATCAAATTGGGTCGATTTTATTGAAGTCATTTTTCAAGGGGTATAGTCTATATGAATGGCAATTTGATTGTTTGTTAAGAGAGGAATTAAGACATTCTAGTAAGTTTAATAAAAGTCTTGATATTGAGAATGATGCAAGTTCTTTGTCTAATAGTTTGAGGAAATTGAAATCATTTGGAAGAAAAAGTCATAAACATGATTTACTGAATGGTTCAGGTCAAAGTACACCTACTGGTAATGGATCTACCAATGCTAGTTTTATTGATATCCCAGCTCCAAATCTTGATTTCCCCATGAGTGAATTTATTTCAATGACTGAAGATCAATTAAATAAAATGTCTAATGATTATGATAATTCAATTATGAAATTTTTACATTCAAATAAAAAATATTATATGGAGAAATGTGCCAGTATTGGAACCAAAAAATTAGATTCATTATTAAATGTAGATAGAATCCATCCATATATCAATGAAGAACTAACCGGAGAAATCCAATATTCCCCCGTGGTTGATATCAAATATTTCCCCCAAGATTTATTAGTCATCATATTTGAATATGCCCCCGATTTGGGTAATTATCGAGATTGTCTTTCTTTCCAATTACGTGATATTGATAAATTAAGTTCCTTCACTACCCAGAAAATCGATTTATCATTCATAAATGATTTACGATTATTAATGCCACTGTGGTTAGGTGATCCAATCCTATACAACAAATACCCCCTTAAGGAAGCACCCAAAATCGCATTCCAATTATTGGAATACGATTATGGAACCCTATCCCCTAATATCAAAATTGGAGGTAAATCACAGAAAAAGATCAAAAAATTACCAAATTTAAATGGATCAATTAATTTAACTTCTCATAATATGTTAAGAGTAAGCAAAATCTTGGGATATTTAGTTGAGAAATTCGAATCAAAAACTAGTGAAATGAAGGATAAGAAATTGAGCCCTGTGGATTGGTTAGTATTGGAATGCCGGGGTGAGGAATTACAACCCGATATGACATTACAAACTATAAAGACAAAACTTTGGAAGAGTAATACTGATGTTGAATTACGATATCGTAGAAAATTTGATGGTGTTTAGATGTTCTTGAGTGATGATGATGATCGCCCTGGGCCTACCTTTTTAGATAGAATGTTTTTATATATATATATACATACATACAGTACAATATAAATAACGCTTTGATGATATAAAATACTCGATGTAAATATAGCTTCCCTATATAGTTGGCAAAATTCCATCTCACGTGACCCTATTTTTTTGTGTTGGAAAATTTGGATTTTTTTTTCAGTTGGTTTTTTCGATGAGAAGTGAATTTAAAACATCAACTGGATTTTATTGACACTCACCATCATCACCATCTGCATTTAATACACATACATATACATAATATCACAATGGATGACAACGATAGAGCAGTTTCACGTTTATTCAGAACTTTTAAGACCGTGAAGGAGATGGTTAGAGATAGAGTATGTTAATATCTCCCCCCACTGATGACCGTTGTTGAACATAGTTGTTGTTTACTAACGCAATACTTATAGGGATATTATATTTCTCAAGAAGAAATCGAAATGACACTTGACGAATTCCGAGCCAAAATCTGTGATTCCATGGGTATTCCACAACGTAAATTAATGTGTTTTCAAGCCACTCCAACTGGAGAATCACTTGATAAATTTCCAGATTTAGGTTCACTTTGGGTTGAATTTTGTGATGAAGCCAGTGTTGGTATTAAAACCATGCGTAATTTTTGTATACATATTAGTGAAAAGAATTTCAGTACTGGTATTTTCATTTATCAAAATCTGATTACTCCAAGTGCTAATAAATTGATTCCAACTGTCTCACCAGCAAGTATTGAAACTTTCCAAGAAGGGGATTTAATTGTGAATATAACTCATCATGAATTGGTTCCGAAACATATCAAATTGAGTCGTGATGAGAAGAAGGAATTGTTGGAAAGATATAGATTGAAGGAATCTCAATTACCTAGAATTCAAAGAGAGGATCCAGTGGCTCGTTATTTGGGATTGAAAAGAGGTGAAGTTGTGAAGATTATTAGAAGATCGGAAACTTCTGGTAGATATGCTTCTTATAGAATTTGTTTGTAAGGAAAAACAGAGAGATTATTTTGTTGTCAAAGTTTATTAGTTTTGTATTATAGGGTTTTAAAAAGAAGTAATTATTATTATATAAAGACTTTACTAAACAAACCATTCCCATATAGTCACTCTTCTCTGCCTGCTGACTTATGAAACTCTAGCAGCAAGGACACTATCTTGTAAACCAGTCCACCATTCAGCATCAACAAGATCTACTCTATTACAAGGAGAAACTTCAACTCCATTCTTACCTAAATAAACAGGAGCAATTGTAATGATTAAAGAATTGATAGTAGGTTGAATCTTATGAAATTTAAGTATTCCATCTATAACATGCGCACCACCTTCAATCATAATTGATTGAATATCCAAGTCGTGCAATTTGGTCAAAACTTGATGCCAACATAACCCCCCGTTAGGTTGCACTGGGAACCTAATATATTGTCCACCGGCCAATTGAACTGCCTTTTCTGATTCTGGGTCAATTTTAGCACCCTCGGCAACGATGATATATGGAGCTTTTCCTAATCCTGCATTATACACTTTCAGAACATTTGACCCCTGATATTTCCATCTTGCCTGGGGGTCAACAATAATAGGTCTGGGGTGATGTGGTACAGTGTGGTCAATTTCATAACGACAATTAAGTTTTGGATCATCTGCTAAGACAGTACCGATTCCAACTAAGATAGCATCATGTTTTGACCGTAAATAATGAGTCATTGTTTTTGTTTCAACATGGGATAATTTAGTTTGAATGCCTGGTTTTTCGGCGATACGTGCATCTAAGGACTGAGCATAAGTTAATGTGACATGAATTTTATCGGTTCTTTGTGGGGGGAGATAGGATTGGAGGAAGGGGATAAGGGATTCTGGAAGTGGTATTAATGACATTTTGAATTGGGTTGAGTTGGGTTGGATTGATATGTATGAAGGATTAAAGAAGGAAGATGATAAGGTGATTAAGTTTTTTTCCAATGAGATTGCTATTTCTCGTAATTATATAAATGAAAGAAAGAAGGATCCTAATTATCACCTGATGTAAATATTTCAATCTAATTTTAATCTTGTTGGTCTTGAATGATCTTTTAAGTTGTCATTGTCATTAGCAATCTCAGTATAATCTCTTTTTAATAAATTGGCCATATCTTCTTTATCTTCATCATTATAAAATACTCCCTTATGATAATAGCCGTGGTTATTATCATTACTATTAGATTTGGTATCATCTTGTTGCTTCTTTCTCAGTTGAAATTCCTTTACCTTTTCAATTTCTGTCATTTCACTACGACGTAATTCTTCTTCTTTTTGTAATTCTTGTTGTTCAATAATCTTTTGATCTCTTTCGAATCGCATTAATTCTCGTTGTTTCCACGCATCATATTCTTGTTCAGGATCAAGATCATCAGTATCATCTATTCCATCAAACAAGTCATCTGCATTATCTGTAGCTACTTCAGTTAACAGTTTCAGGTCATTATTCTCTAATTTTGATAAAAGTATTTGTTTTTGACGATCTTCATTAAGCTTTTGATCTTCTTGTGTTAATTGTTTTATGCGTTGTTTTTTTGAGATGAAGATTGGTTTCTGAATTTGTTCATCTTCTGATGATGATGAGTCAGATGAGTCAGAGTCATCACAGGAACTATTATTATCTGACATAGTACTGGTCGAATGTGTATGAACCAATAGTGTAAATAAAAGATATGATTATATTTATTGGTGTTTCCTAATTGAGAATGTAAAATGTCGCGCGTTCATTTCAACGCTCTCATCGGCTATAAAATTTCGAAGAAAAAAATAATTATTTTTTAGTCGTTGTTGTTACTTCGTTATGTTAACTACAGGGACCTTCCCAGGAACATAATATAATAAACCCTGGGGTAAGTAGTTGAGGTTAGGCAGATTCCTTAGTAATAAAGAGAGAGTGTGTATGTGGGTGTCAGGTTTTTGTCTCGATACCTTTAGATCCTTTTTCTAGTTCCCTATTGATTTGTATGTGTCAATATTTGTGGCTAAACTAAAATCTGGATCTATCGGGCCAACATTTTTGAGGAACAAACAATGACGTAAAACTGTATGTTGTTGAGTACAAAAGGAAGAAACATTGGCTTCCTTAACTCATTTAAATTTACAAACTACTACAACTTCTTAGATGGTGTACAAACCTCTATTGACTTTTGACCAGGAGAACAAGGCTGCAAAAATTGGATATCAACTGAGTTTATTATATTCTACCGAGGTTTATGATGAATTTCATTACTCTCATCAGTTGCACATGTGTATTATTTATAATAAAACGACATTGGATACAATGTCGTTAAAATTCTCCTCCTATTTCTTTTAACAATTAATTTATTTATTTTTTTTTACGCGTAAATTAAATTTTTTTTTTTTTTCTTTTGGGAAGAATTTTTTTTTTTTTTTTTGGAAATTAATTTTACAAAGAAAGTCACCAACCCAACAGTTGTACTCTTCCATCAAATATTTAAAGAACCCTTTTGATTCCACTTTGACTTAACCTTTCTGTCTTAAAACCAAACCAAACTACTGTACATATATACAACTTACTTACCACACTCGTTTATAACAATATCAACAGTATAGTATATATATAACATGTTAGCTACTTCCGCATCATTTCCAATTCCAAGTTGGGATGTTCCATTTGGTATTAAATTATGGCCAATTTTTAATGATTTAATAAGTTCTTTAAGTCATTATAGTTTTATTCCATCTGAATTTAGTTTCAATGAGAGTTTACCATTAGGTACATTCCCACCAGTTGCTACTGCTATTATTACTTATTATGTTGTTATATTTGGTGGTGATTATATCTTTAAGAAATTTCAAATTAAACCATTAATCTTAAATGGATTATTTCAATGTCATAATTTATTCTTAACTACTTTATCATTAACTTTATTGGTACTTATGGTTGAACAATTAATTCCTATGATTTATCATCATGGTTTATATTATGCAATTTGTAATCAACAAGCTTGGACTCAAGAATTAGTTTGCTTATATTATTTAAATTATTTAACTAAATTTTGTGAATTTATTGATACTGTTTTCTTAGTGGTTAAACAAAAGAAATTAACCTTTTTACATACTTATCATCATGGTGCAACTGCTTTATTATGTTATACTCAATTAATTGGTTTAACTCCAATTTCTTGGGTCCCTATTGCTTTGAATTTAGGTGTACATGTTGTTATGTATTGGTATTATTTCTTAGCTGCAAGAGGTATTAGAGTTTGGTGGAAAGAATGGGTTACTCGTTTTCAAATTATTCAATTTGTATTGGATTTAGGATTTGTTTATTTTGCAACTTATCAAAAAATTGTCTTTAATTATTTCCAAGATTATTTACATGTATTACCTCATTGTGGTGATTGTGCGGGTACTATGTTGGCAGCTTATTCTGGTTGTGCCATCTTATCTTCTTATTTGGTTTTATTTATTGCTTTCTATATTGATGTTTATAGAAGAAAGGGTTCCAAAAAGGCTAAAATGGTTAAATCAGTTAAAGGTGGGGTTGCTGCTCAAGTTAATGAATACGTTTATGTTACTGGTAATGACAATAAATCTCCTTCTCCTCAACCAGAAGGTTTAAGATCAAGAAAAGCATAAGCTTGGTTCTTTAGATCTTCCAACTTCAATCAAAAAACACAGACACATTATTATATTTACAATCTAATTTCAAAAAACTAAAAACATTCAACGTCGGGTTAATAATACACTTCTTAACCAGAAGTAGCCATCCCCCCTGACATTTTATATCTTTGTACTTTTAATATAATTACCCATTCTATTAATAGACTCTCTAAAAAATACAAGTATCATTATTTTAATAAACTTTTATCATTATCATCTATAATATTGAAAACATCTTCAAACATGGGAATACCTTCAGCTGCTCCACGCTTTTGTACAGCCAAAGAACTTGCAGCAGTAGCAAACCTTACTGCATGTTCAATACTTATTCCTCTGGCTAACAGCAGAACAACCCCTCCGAAAAATGTATCCCCAGCCCCAGTTGTATCAACCACATTTTTCACTTTTCTTGCTGGTTCAAATTTAGGACTTTCCAATTCTTGAGAAACATATACAACTCCTTTACTCCCAAGAGTTATAATCACATATCCCTCATTCTTGTCATTAATCAATGATTGCAATTTCTCAGCTAATTCTTTAAACCCCTTCACTTCATCATTTTCAATCTCAGTCTCAAATTTCTTCAATTCTGAAGAACCCAAGACACATTTCGCAACATCCATAGCTTCACCTTCATTAACAATCAACATATCCAACTTCCCCAACATTTCCAAATCAATCAACTCAGGATCGAATGGTGATGGATTATAGCAAATCCTAACATGGGGGCGGTTTCCTTTTATCCAGTCAATCGAAGAGATCGTATCGGGATATTCATTCTGAAGAATCACAAACTCCCTTTCCCCATCCTCCCTCTTCCCAAAATACTCTCGATATTCCTCCTCACTAGGCTTCAAATATCCATTCGCCCCCAGTGTAATCAAAATCCTATTCTCCCCCGTCTCTTCCTCCACCAATATCGTAGCCACCCCCGACCCAACCCCCTCCTCTTCCACCACCTCAACCCATCTCACATCCACCTCAGACTCAATCAAGTATTGTCTAAGCAGAGTTCCGAAATCGTCATTACCGATCTTTCCGACCATTCGAATCTTGGTCAATGGGTCTGGGGAGAGGCGAGAACAGGCGATTGCCTCATTGAGCCCCTTGCCTCCCGGGTGGGTTTCGAAGGTGGTGGCGTGTATTGTTTGGCCGGCGAGGGGGATGTGGGGTGTATAGGTTACTAAATCGTAATTTAACGAGCCGATGATTGTTATGATTGGCATTGTCCAATTGATGAAGTATGGCAGTTTGGTTCAAGATGAAATGGTGGAATTGGTATAGTTTTGATTTGTGGAGTGGGAGGGTGCGAAAATTTCAGTGGTGATGATGTTGTTGAGATGGGAGAAATTATTTACAAAGGTGTTCTACGTTGAAGAAAGGTATTCTACGATAAAGAAAGTGAATTTATTAATAAAAGAAGTCGTCCTGTTAAGACAATGTCATGTGATTAAAATGAATACTATCTATTAACTACTAGTAAAGAATTTAATTTAATTTTCCTTCTCTCTTCAATCTCATCCTTTCGGCAAAAGTCATTGGTTTCTTAGCAGCAGCAGCTTCAGCAGCAGCCCTTTCAGCAGCTTCCTTCTTAGCAGCAGCTTCAGCCTCGGCAGCTCTTTGTCTAGCAATTTCGGCATCTTTTTCATGTTGAATCTTCAATTCTGCTTCTTTCTTCTTTCTAGCAGCTTCTTCAGCAGCAGCTCTGCGTTCTCTTTCTTTTCTATTTCTTAATTCTTCAATACGTTGACGTTTAACTTGTTCAATACGTTCGGCTTTAGCTTGTTCAAATTTAGCAGCTGCCTTCTTTTTCAATTCAGCAAGTTTGACGGCATTCTTGGCATCGATTTCAGCCTTGAGTTTGGTGAAATCTGGAACAACACGTTGTAATCTTTCCTTCAATGCAATAGCATCATCGTATTCCTTCTTGGCACGAGCAATCTTACGTTGTTTGATAAGTTCATAATCAGCACGTTCTTTTTGGACTTGTTCTTCGGCATCTTTTTCCAAATATTGTAATTCATATCTTCTGAATGCTCTTTCCAAATGATCAGCTTTCTTGGCGGTAGTTTTCAATTTATCTTCCAATTCCTTCTTGTCTTTATTTAATTGTTCAATTTGCATAGCTTGTAATAGATCAGTATCTAATTCTTCTAATTTATCCAAATCAACCTTAATAATACCCTTAGCATTAATCATCTCGGCAAGTTTTCTCTTTTCATTAAGTTGAATTTGTTTTCTTTCCTTTTCCAATTTTTCCAATTTCTTACGTTCAGCATCAGCAGCAATTCTTTCTTGTTCTGCCTTTTGTTCAGCCACAAGTCTTTCATGTCTTAATCTGGCTTGTTTTTCTTCTTCTTCACGTCTACGTTTTTCAGCCAATGCTTTACGTTCTTCAAGAATCTTAGTACGGTCACATAATGCTTGTTGTTCTTGAACGATATTGTTCATGGCACGTTGTAATGCAATTTCTCTGGCTTGTTGTTGACGAGATTCATAGTTTGGATCAATGATTCTGACCGATTCAGACAAAGTGGCAGCCAATCTTGAAATTTGAGATCTGATTAATTCTGCAGGAGAAATTTGTAATTTTTCAGTCACGGATAAATATTCTTCAATTGGTTCTTCTAATGGATTGGATTTGAATGAAACTACATCGGATTCATGATCGATGGTTAAGGCAACATGACCATCCTTGACGGCATTAACGATTAAATCTTCAACTTCTAATTCGGATAATGTGTATTCTTCCAATTCAGGGAAAATACCTAAAGAAATAACGAAATCTAATTTAACAGTTTCATAGACTTGAGCAACTTGTTGGAAGATTCTAATACAAATGACTTCAGTTAAGGTTGGGATATAGTTCTTATAATCCTTATCAGCTTGAATTGATTTGAATACAGAACAGACTTGTTCCTTAATGGCTAATGGATGGAAATCACCACCTTCTAATAATTGGAATAAGGATTTGATTGGCTCATCAACAAATTCTAAAATAGATTTAGAAATAATCGACTTGATTAATCCATCTCTAGTAGGGACACGGTTCAAGTTTAATAATGAAGATAATTTGGAGTTCTTGGTCTTTTGTTCATCAACATCACCATGAATAACTCTTTGTGGAATGGATAAGGTAGATAAAACCAAAACAGATGCATAACGTTTTAATTCTTCATCAGTAGCTAATGGAGATTGAGAATACAAGTTGAAGAACTTGTTCCAAGCAGCAGCATGGAATAAAGTGTTGTCAGAAACAGCAAAGATACGAGCCAAGTTTTCATAATAATTGGCCATCATACTTGGTTTTGGTGCCTTTTTTGAAGCAGTGATTAAACTATGGACATCATCTACTGATCTGAATGATTCTTGCCATAATTCTAACTTAACAGCAATGTTTAATTGTGAAAATCTTTGATCCAAATAACGTTGAACAGTTTCAGAATCAGATAAATCAATTGCATTGAAATTGGAAGCTGGCTTGGTTGGAGTAGTAATAGATTGCATATGAGTTCTTAATAATTCACATAATCTTCTAAATTCAGCCTTTCTCTTGAAATTCAAACAAAATTTAAAGGCTTGACTGACAATAGCAGAATAAGTAACTTCTAATTTGGAATTATTTCTCAAAATGTCTAAAACAGCTCTCAAAGCTTCCCAAAGGAATCTTAACCATGGAGTAACTAATTCACGCTCAGTTCTATCAGCAGAATCAGTATTAGAAACAGCACTCAAAAGAATAGTTTCAGGAGTTTGAGCAACTTCTAAATCTTCATCTTCTTCTTGATCAATTCTAATATCAGCTTTTGCTTGAGCTTCATTTAATTTCTTTTCAGCTAACTCAATAAATTTAACGACAATAGTTTGAACCGATTCTAAACCACCTTCATTTAATTGAACATTCTTTTTATATTGGTGTAATGCATCTTTGGCTAATTTACCTTTACGTAAATCAACAGCTAATTCAACAAGTAAAAGAGCAATTGGTTCTAAATCTGCAACTTGTAAATAACGAATACGTTTTGAAGTAATTAAATCATAAACAGTATCTAAAGCAGCTTCTCTTTCTCCAACTCCAATCAAATCTTCAGCACGCTTTAAGACGTTTTCTGGACGAAAGACGTGACTCTTACGAGGTGGAACCATTATTGTTTTAGTATTAAGTTAATGGGTCTTAGTTCCTTATAAAGTAAGAATTGTGTTGTAAAAAAATGAACTGAAAAATTTTTCAAAAATGGCTGAAGATGAGAGGGTCGTGCATAATTACCAAATATGTAAATTATTGAATTACAAAGAGAGCCAATGGCAGGATCCATTCCATTATAGATACAAAGAGTATAATTGTTAGTGTACATTAAAGGTATAGAGTTCTATCTATTGAGGAGCTGGGAAGCTTTCTTGCATTTCAATTACTGATTTTGCTAAATTATCTTTATCAATTAAAATTAAACTTAATTTTGGATCAATACCATATTCAGTGAAAACTCTTCTTGAATCAGTTTCTTGCTTCTTTTGAGTATATGGGAAAACACCTCTATAAGAAGCATTTTGTTCTAATATCATATCTTCATAATGGAAGTAATCCATTTCAATTTGTTTTGGTTCATTACTTGCAATCTTCTTTTTCTTCAGTCTCTTGTCATCGTCATCATCTTGTTCAATTTCAGGATTAACTAATTGATATACTTTGGAAACAATTAAGAAATAATCAAATTCATATTTCTCATGAGCATCTTCTGCCTTTTCCATTTCTTCTAGTAACATTCTATACATTGGTGGAATGACTTCAATTGGCATATTAATCATTCTTTCACTGACAATTAATCCAACCTTCAATTGTTTACTATTACCATTGGTAGTTTTAACATTAGTCAATAATTTCTTTAACATAATATTAAATTCAGTCTTACCTTTTGTCTTATTAAGTATATAATCAACTAGTTTCTTAATACTTGGCTTTGTTAAATTTTCAGTCATATTCACCACCGACAATAATGCAAATGGATCACTTTCAACACCATCAGTTTTAATAGAAGTACCAACTGAATTCTTAGTCAAAATAAGATCAGCTAAACCAGAAAGATCAAATTCACTAGCATCATCACCGAATAATTGACGAAGGAAGTTCTTGGTAGCATGGAAATCGACTTCAGGATTTAAATCAAAGAAATCAAAATCAACATTAATCATTTCTTCGTCTTCTCCTTCTTCTCTTTCTTCACCCTTTGATTGTTCTTCGACTTGTTCATCTTCGGAATCAGTTGAACTGACGTCAATATCAGAATCTACTTCTTCTTCTTCGACTTTTCTCTTTCCCATTATTGTCTTTATATTCTTCTACTTAAAGAACAAGTACCACGAAAGAAATCTCATCTCCCGTACTAATTTTATTTTTTTTAGAGGGGGGGCCCATGCGATGATCTTCGAACCCGCTTAATGTTGAGAAACAAAAACATCCCTGTTTTCCTTATATGAATCACCAACCTCCTTCTAACTAAATGTCAATTGTTAGAGGTTATACATCTTCAAGCGATGATGGTGGTGATGACAACACTTCTGAACAATCTTCGATAGCCCAGATCGTAACTTCGCTTTCAGGACAAGTTGCCATGCCGATTCAAGAAGACGGTGATCCACCAGTCAAGAAACAAAAGACCTTTGCTGGTGAATTTCAAAAATTATATTACGATCAATCCACATTTTCCAATAGCCTACGAGAAGAAAGAACTGCTGTATCCCAAGAAGCTCGTACCAAAGCCAAACAATTGAAGCAACAAAGAAAGAAAAAGAGAAAAGCTGAATCTGCTAGTCCTTGGGATAATTATTCATCATCAGATCAAGAATTTGTAAACAACCAAGAATCTGAAAGTGAACAAGAAGAAGCAGCAGGTCATAGAATATATGAACAAGCACAATCAGATTATAAACTTTCCATTCCAAAAGAGACTACGAAATTTGTAGGATCTCAAGAAGAAGATTATCAAGGAAGAACATATATGCACATTCCACGAGATTTGGATATTGATCTAACCAAAGACCCAGGAACACAGGAATGCTTTGTGCCCAAGAAGGTTATTCATACATTCGAAGGACATCCGAAAGGAACCAATAAACTTGAATACTTCCCCAGATCGGGTCATTTGTTGCTATCTTGTGGTAATGATGGACAAATCAAACTCTGGAGCTTGTACCGTAAACGAGAACTATTAAGAATATATTCAGGACACAGTCTGGCAGTCAAGGATGTCAAATTTAATTCCAAGGGTGACGAATTCTTAAGTGCAGGATATGATAGATTTATTCATTTATGGAACACCGAAACTGGACAAATCAAGAAAACAATCCAATTAAATTCAATACCAAACGTTGTTAAATTCAATCCCAACAATGAAAATGAATTCATCGTTGGGTTAAGTAATCATAAAATTGAACATTATGATCTAAGTTCAATCACCTACCAGACTCCAATACAAGTCTACGATCATCATCAAGGTGCCATAAATTCATTAACCATTTTGGGAAACGACAAATTCATGTCTACTGCCGACGATAAGACTGTTCGAGTATGGGAATGGCAAATCAATATCCCCATCAAAACAATCTCCGACCCTAGTTTACATTCAATGCCTTCCGCCGCGGTGTTTCCCGGTGGTGGGAAATATATCGCATTGCAAAGCATGGATAATTCAATACGTGTAATTCATGGATCTGGGAAATATAAATTCAACAAGAGTAAATTATTCATTGGACATCATTGTGCTGGGTATGGGATCGAGATTGCCATTTCTCCAGATGGGAAGATTATTATGAGTGGGGATTCGAAAGGAAATGCATATTTCTGGGATTGGAAAACGACAAAGATAGTGAAGCGATTGCATGTTTCTGAAAAACCGATACGATGTATTGTGTTTCATCCTCATGAGTCTAGTAAAGTTGCAGTAGCAGGTTCTACGGGAGAGATTTACTATCTTGATTGAAATATATATATCAACATTACTGTATTATAATTATATCACTTTATATAAATGTATAAGATTGTATCAATGATCTACATAATCGTGCAATTTTTCTCCTGATAAGCGTCCGTCTTCTTTCTATACCTATGATAAAAATGATGCGACTTATGTGATGAATGATGTGCCTCTTGATGAGATGGTGTCGCTTCTCCATGGGATACACTAGGAATGAGTGATTCCAGTTTTTGAATCTCACCAAATGATTCAGTTGAATCTAATTTCGTACTTGGAGATGCAATCTTAATCGCCCTTCTCCAAATAGAATCCTCAGATGGAGAATTTAAATGGTCCTTCTGAGCTTGCGCTTGTTGTTGCTGTTGTTCTGTCAGGTCCTGCTGTTCAGAACTTTTCTTATTCTGTTGTTTCTTTTCTGAGATGGCTGAAGAAGCTTTTCTCTTAGGATCCAGTAAATCAAGGGCAGATAATTGTAAATTACTACTAGAATTACTCCATTGACTATTTCGTCTATGTTGAGGACTTAAACTCACACTGGCATATCTTGATCCACTCTTGGAAACACTTGGTTCTTCTTTGAAATAATTCTTTTCTTCATCTGTAACGTACCAATAATACTTATTTCTAATATCAACAAATCTAGGATCCGTGGGTAAAACGTCAGGGAATTGTATACTGGACATTGAAGTTGGTGCACTATTAAGTTTTATTAAAGAACGCGTCTCTTCAGAAATTAAACTTGGAGTTTTACTAACCGATGGAATTGGGGATAATGAATCTTCTGTCCAATATGGTCCTTTGGATCCCTTTGGTGCACTAAATGGATTTTTCGTAATGTCTAAAACTTCATCTTCCGTGGATACCAATCTATAGAATAACATATATGGCCATTCAGTGCTGAAAATTTCTTTGAACGTCTTTTCGACAACTCTGGCATGTTTCTTCATGTCATCATATAAGAACCAAGTGGCATTATATGCCGCATCTTCACATTCGAAACTATCTTCGGTATTCTTACGTACGACAGAAACGAAATGCCCCAGGGAAATGGTTTTCCCACGATGACAAATTGCACTTTCGAGAATAAGCTTGTATGAACTCGGTGTTCCATCTATATCATCTGCAACAAATTTGGGAAGGTTAATGACTGGGGGGATGATAATACGTTTCTGAGATCGCGTAGCGGTTGAATTACTAAAATGATAACGTTTGAGACAAAGTGGCAATATTGGTCTTCTGGTGGCAAATTCTTTTGAATTCTTGGCGACGCTTTCCAGACCTGGACTCATGACATTATCATCTGTATAAAATGGTAATAATCTCAAAAACATCCAGGCTGGTAAACTAACTTCTCGTGGCTTTCCTGTATTTCTATCGGTTTCGTTGAGTGACCAGATTGATAATGTGGAGGAACGTGTACGCGAAGTAACTCTGACTCCATCGTCTTTAATACTGCCGCTGTTTCTATGAGTTAAGCTGGCTTGTTCTTCAACATTTTCGACATGCTCTTGATGTAGTTTATGGAAATCGGAATCTATTCCGGATGAAGTATATGATGGATCTTCAGGAATGGTATAAGTTCCCATATCGCCACCTCCTCCGGTAGCTTTGATTGACATAAGTGATGCTCTTCTTTCTAATTCTCTTTCGACACTGATGGAATTGTTGAAATAATGTTCAAGACATTCTTCTAATAAAATCAGATCTTCGACATCGCTGGAACTATTCATATCGGAACTCTTTTGTGTATTGGTACTATTCTGGGAGGAAGAGTTGCCAGGTTTGCCAGGTTGTTGAGAGCCAGTTGACTGTTCTGAATTCATTTTTTCACTCTTTAAGGTACGCATACTGGCATTCTCGGTACGATTCATTTCATTATTATTAACATCATGGGAGGAGGTATCGCTCTTGCTGGTATTCTCACTGTTGATTTTTTGTATGCTGGTTGTATCACTATTCTTCAGGTTATTTGCTTGCATTGTAGTTGCACCTGAATTTGCTTCTTCCATAGATTCAGTATTATTGATTTCGATACTTGGGACTTCTTCATCTGGGATACTTACGAATAAAATTCTTTCTCTTGAAAACTTCTCATCATCATTCTTATTATATTTTCCGCCATGTTGAATATCAATCTTAAAAGTCAATAATGGCATACTTAAAGTTTCAGTCAAGAATTCAAATAATGCAGCTGAATCTTGTTGTTTATGACTCATTGCTTCCTTAAATCCTAATTTTTGTAATGATTCACATAATCGTATAGTTATATCTGTTGTTATCAAATTTCCTGATCTGATTAAACTCACATATAATCTCAATAATGCCAGTAATCTCTCAACTTCTGAATTTGCTGCATTTGGTATAAACAATATTGGTTCAAAACTTTCTAAATTAGCAAACATGGAGAATAAAAGTGCATCTAGATAACACATTACATTATCCCAATTCTCGGCGCCTGCAAATCTGATTACCCCACCTAATTTATCTAAACTTGAATTGGTCAAGAATAAACCTTGAGTACTCAACTGGACAAATCGTATTAAATGCACTGTCTTGATTTGATCTCCTTGAGTGAATGGTGATTTTAAAGATGCTATGACTTGATAAGATGATGGGATTGGTAATTTCAAATGCTCAAAGTATTTCTGGACAGTGGTGACTGCCGATGATTTCTCGGAGTATTTGGTATCATTGTAAGGGGTATGCTTTGTTAGTGTGTCTCTATCATTTTTTATGTAACTGTCTGTATACCATTGCCAAAATGCGTCAGGGAATGTAACATGTCGATTTGACGAAGAAGAATGAGTATTACTACTTCGTGTGAATCTCATTTTAATCTAATTTGAGTTGTTGATTAAACTCAGTGCTATACAAGTGTAATAAATCGACTGAGATGTTGACGGGGGGATAAACAAAGGACGACTATAATTTAGGAAGAAGAGAAGGAGTTGAATGTAATAGTGGTTGGCCGGGTGAAGTTGGAGGTGGATGTGAGTGACTGTCTGTTGTTATGTAATGAAATTTATTTTTGAATAGAAATTTGCCTGCGTGTGTTTAAAAATATTTTTTAAGTAAGATACACCTTCTGGAATCAATACTACTTATGGAATTATATGCAATAGAAGCCTAACTAAACTTTTACTTTAACTATTGAGCGTTTATCGTTATAGAAATACCACTATAGCGTAGATGATATAATAAGCTCAAAGATAATCCTGTGGAGTATTAAGCATTGAAAAATTGAATAGACGCAGGGATCAGAACCGTATGATGTCGCGACAAGATATCTGACACTCCATGTCACTAGCAACACATTTACACAAACTATAATTATCATAAATAATTAGCTCATTTATTTCTCTCTATTAAACTACTTACCCCTTGTATGATATGCCATATAAGTGAAAGGATCATCGTCTATGTTCCCGTAATATTCAATTCTCTCATTTTATTTAAAACATCATCAATTCGTTTATCTAAATTCCCCTTAATATAATCTTCTCTTGTTCTTGCATCCAATTTATGTTGAAACTTATTTAATCGATGATAATTTTCATTAAAGAATCTTAATTGAATTTTTACAAATGCTTCAAAAGAAGGATCGAAAAATGGAACTCTTAAATTAATTAATTTGGGTAATTCAGTTTTTAATTTATCATTTAAATTATCATAAACTTTTTCAGATTCTTGCATATCCTTCTGGGCTTCATTCAATTTAAGATCATAATTTGGATCATTTAAAGGTGGCTTCTCAATCAATTTACGTACTTTATTCTTCATAGCATCATAATCTAATTGTTTATGAGCTCTCTTTTTAATGGCTTCGTTGATCTCAACATAATAAGAATTAAATCTTGCTATTGGATTCAATACTGTCTGGTTATAAGGTTGCTCTAACTCGGAAATGCATTCATCATTCAAACTTTTTAAAATCTGATAATATTCATGTGAAAGCGATGAATATTTAATTGAATCTTCTTTATCAGTAGTAGTTTCTGTGATGATGTGATTATTTCCATTCTGGTGTTGTCCTGAAGAAGGCGACTTAATAGCTGCTTGAGGAATTGGTCCATAAAATGAACTTAAAGCTTCTCCAATATTTATTTGTGAATTAGTTAATAATCTTAGTGATTCTAGATATGAACGTAATTGTTTCTGTAGCTTAAGTGAATTAGTTTCCATCATTCGATATCTCTTTTCTTCAAATTCAAATTCTTTATCTATTGTCTGTTCAATGTGACCTGTCTTGAGCATTACTTGTGTACCAGCTCGATTAATGGCTTTCTTTAATCCCATCCATGACATCGTGATATGCTACAACTTAAAGTGTATATAATTGTATTTTGGTGGGTTTTCAGTTGAATTGGGTATAGTGGCAGTCTTTGGTAGAGTGGTTGGATATCAAGTCTATAAGCTCTTTTATATACCTATTTCTATTTCAATCCTATATGCTGATAAATGATTGTGTCAGTATACAAAAAGGAATAAAAGTTGATTTGTGTGTTTTAAAAATTGTTTCACAGCGGCTAACTTTAAATACATTATTTTTTTTTTGTGGCCCCTGATTCTAAACCCCCGATTAATCCGTAATTTACTAAATTTAGATTGCAAAAATTTTAAATTATAAATTAAAATAAATAAGAACGACTACCCCACCATAAATTTCAAACTAAAAGTCTATAAACTATTACATATAACATACCCATTATTACTCTATCATATAAGTCCTATCATTATTCATTTAAATATGGTTCTAAATCTCTTAAATCAAAACTAAAAATTGTATTAAAATCTGAATTATCTGGAATACCTCCATTCCCATTCACTGTATGTTGACCATTATATGAAGGTCTTGAATTAAGTTGTTGGTCATGATCTTCCATATTATTGGACATTGCAGCATTTGGATTAAATAAACTATGCATCATTTTGATAAATACATCATTCTGTAACATATTCTGTTCTGGTTGTTGGGCTACATATTCATTATTATCAACTAGCTGTTGTTGTTGGTCATCAATTGGTTGTTGGGATTGGGGTGGTTGCTGTTGTTGCTGTTGCTGTGAAACTAGTTGTTCCTTTGTCATAGATAGACTACTTGGTGTTGATTCCTTCTTGATTCTTCTTTGTTTTCTTGATGGTTCGGATTCATCTTCATTCAATTCGTTGTTCTGTAATTGTGAACCAACTGAATTCATCTCATTTGACAATTCTTCTTTAAATTTCTTAGTCTTTTCTTCTAATAATCTTAATGGAACTTTGGTAAGGAGCCACACATCAGGCTTGAATAAACCCTTGACATACTCAATAAAGAATTCTAGTTGGGCTAAATGTTTATCTCGATTTCGTGGATTATTGACAAGATGAATATATAATATCTTACATAATAATATCATAACATATAATGTAACAATATTCTTAAGATGATTAGTTTCTGATTCTTTAGTTCTTCTTAATATAATCTCAACTTCTTCCACCATTTCAATGAAAAATTGAATATCTGCTCCAATAGGTAATTGTAAAAATGGTTTATTCAAAATAAGGAAAATAAGATAAAATGCAAACTTTAACAGATGATCATCCATTTCAATATTCTTTCTTCTTATATTCTCTAAATCCCAAAATAATTCCTCGGGTAAGCTCTTTCTCCATTCCATCAATTTCACATTAAATTCTCGTAATTGAGAATACTTGAGTACAAAATTAGTCTTAAATTCTTCGGCATCCTTAAATGACATCGCTTGATAAATCTTAGCAATCATAGGTTCAATCATAACCAATAAATCAATAACTGGAGGCAACTTAGGACTAAACAATTCATTCTTATACATTGGATAATTAGGATGATACATCAACATTCTTGGTCTTCCAAAAATTAATCCGGCAAAATTATCAATAATAAAACACCCCCAATATACCATACATTTTAAATTAGGATTAGGACCTTCTTTAGAAAAATCATTAAATCCTAAATCAAATCCCATTCTGAATGCCATACCTGATAATTGCCAAGTACTTGTTAATTCTCCCCGATTTAAGTCATAAACGGCATTTAATATGAGTGCCAATAACCGGGGATAAGTTGAGCCATTAAATGTATATGAATTGAATATTATTCGTTGCAGTAGAAGATAATATTCTTGAGCTTCATTTGGTTCATCTAAATAGATCGATCCAATACAACATAATGAATAGATTAATTCTGGTGATATGTATTGATTAGTTGGAAATGTTAAAAATATCTTCCCGAGATAATTACGATCATTCGCATGTTCACAAATATCGTCAAGTATATCTTTCGTCCTCTGCTCATCCAATATATAACATAATATCTGCCGATCTAAATATTTAATAGCAACATCAACCAAGTTCCGTACTTTTGGTGATGTCAATTCTTGTAAATTAACCAAATGAGGATCAAATAATTCTTTTGAAAATGAAGAAGAATTATCCGGAGATTCTGAATTCCTAGTATTTCCATCATCATCGCCATTTTCTTTATTATTATTTTGATTGCTATGATTATTATTCTTCCCTCTTGTCCTTTCAGCATGATTAATAATCATCGATTCATCATATATAGTAGTCGCACCCAAGAAAAAACCAGAAACACCATCAGTGCCACGATAAAACTTAGACGTAAGATCTAATCCTCCATTATATTTACGTAATGTAGGAGCAGGTAATGCGGGTGGGGGGAACACTATCCCTCCTGCAGGAGCGCCGGTTGTCAATTTCAGTAGTGATTGTGGTGGAGGGAGTGAAATGTTATTTGCGGTATTTGCTGTTGTGGCAGATGTGGTTGCAAAAGGATGCGAAGTTATAGGTAGTGGATTGGATCCAGATGCGACTGATGCTGGGGGTGTATGTCCGTTCGAATTTATCTGATGCTGTTGTTGTTGCATTGATGTTGGTGGCATGATGGCAATACCAGTAGTGGGAAAACCAGTATATTGAGGTGGCATATATGTTGGCGGTAGATGTTGAAATGTTTGTGATGGTTGCTGATTTGATGGCATTGATGTACTATAATAAGTATAATTCTGTTGTGATTGAGGAGGCACTTGAAAATTTTGGTTCGGTATGTGATGGTGATGGTGTTGTTGTTGTGACTGTTGTTGTGAGGGCGGCGGCGGCGGTGGTGGTGGTATGGTGGTATAGGGTGATGAAGGTTGTGAAGGATGTAATATTGGCTGCCCACCAGTACCAGATGTTCCTATCTGAGATTGTATAGGTCTACCTTGTCGATAGGTGGTGTGCTGATGTTGTAAATTTGGTTGAGTGTGGGGATATGAATATGTGGCTTGTCGTGAAGCCGGTGATGAACATTCTGAACCAGTATCAATGTCTCGAGACTCGCCTAATGTTTTGGATTCATATATAATGTTGATCTTCTTTAATAATGCCTCTGGGTCATTACGTAATTGTAGTAGTGAAGTCAAATAGACTTGATTCTGTTTATTTATCTGTTCGAGATTATGGGTGTATTCACTTGAATAACGATTCTTCCTTCGATCAACATTCGGATATTGACAAACTTGATTTCTCTTAATACAGTTGGAACATGGATTTCCTCCATCGCATTTTCGTTTAATTGTCCGACACACATTACATCTACATGGGTTTTTGTTAGTATTTTTCTCTTGTGCTCATCATCACCTTTTCCATAGATCGGCTAGTATTTTGAGCCGAAAAATGAAATACGAGGGACTAATTACATACGATGTGGATTGTCTCTTTCTAGGATGAGCTTCTCCCATTGTCGTCTTGATGATTTTGACTATCAAAGGATCATGAAACAATAATATATATATATATGAATATAAAATTATATTTAAAAGGTTATAGAGAATAAAAGAGGTAGAGAGAGGAAAAGAAAAAAAAATCTTACTGGTGGGAGTGATTATAGTATGATTTTATATTGTATGGGATTCAAATTGCATAAAAAATATGGTTGAGTGGCATGAAAAAAATATTGATACAATAGAAAACTATTATGAGAAAAAAAACACCTTTCTCTCCCCGATGCAGTTTACCTTAACGCACATAGTGCATAAAACAAATAAAAATAGAAACGAATAGTTAAGCCCATATTCTGACGCCTTTCTTTTCATTGATAAGACTTTCTATTCATTGTATACTCCTTTCAAATTTGTGAAATTTTATTGTGCATGTTTATAAAATAAATAATAAAAAAAAATTATCGAACAATCTTATAAAATAAAATTATTTCACACAAGTCATTTTGTTTCATGCAGTCAATTCTGGAGAAACTATCAGCGGCGTTGTCGTAGTAAATTTTATTAGATGAAAAATATTTTTTTGTACCAACAATATACCGGAACCAGACGCAGGTGTCAATAAGAAAAGTTACAAAAAAGAAACTTGTCATCACCATGATATGTATCGACAACGTTTTCTTGAGGCGAATATGTACCCTGTAGCGAATTTTTGCTATTAGAAAGAAAAAAACTGTTGATCTATATTTCCTTGCTGATAAGCGCTGTTGCAAAAATCCCCCCCTCCCTTGAATAAGTCTCCCCTCCTTTGATTAAGCGGATAACTATTTTGTTAATCAAATAAGTATAAGATCCTCAACCTGCTTGGAGGAATATCTATCGATTTTGTGTTTAGTTCAAGGTACCTTATTCCATGTTTGAGTAAGTTTTTATTTTTTTCCTTTTGTGGGCATATTATTTAGCTGAACCGACATGTCGGTGCAGTCTATTGTTTTGAGCCTGGCTTATTTTTTGCTTCACTAAGGAGAGAGAAGTCCCATCACAACATTAAAGAACGAAGTTTTTGCGAGTCACTCAAAGTTTCCAAGACTAGACATCGGATACATGACTTCTATGAACATAGTGCTTACTTTCCATTTTGTGGGCACTGCAGGAGGTTGATGTCAGAATGATACCTGCATAAAAATAATTATGTTTAAATAATAAAATTTGCAATCGGTTAGGTTTCGGCTGTCCTCCGGAATACAAGCCTTTGATCAAAAAAATATTATATTTGAGAGACTAAAACCTTCTTCGTTGACGAACTTTACTTTGATGTTTAATGTACAGCTGAATCAAGGTATCTTTTTATTTATTTTCAAGGATGTGGGTGGAGGTGGGCGCGAACTTCCGCCGGTGAGACTTAAGTTAAATTTGCATAACCGGGCGGTTTGACATCAAATGCCACAAAATCTGACGAATATGAAGGTTGTGTCATAACGCATATTCATAACCCTCCAGAGATTTTTCCGTGGATATCCCATCTATATATATCAAGCTAATATTTGAGCTCGTGGCATGATTCAATATCATACGGCTCTGAGTTCATTTATCGAAAAGTTATCCAAAAATACGAGCTACTTCCTTTCCCCCAGATATTATTTTATCAAAAACAAATGACCCCCCGAAGACATAGTTGTTCTTGCTTTTATGCAGAATAATTTTTCAATTATCCATTGACCTCGGTCTTATTTGGAAGAAAATAGAACTATTATGAAATCATGCGGGAGTTGACTTGTCCGGGAATATTTTTTTAATTAGTTTTTAGTTCATACAGTAGATTATTTTTTTGACTTCTGTTGTTTAAAAGATGACCTTTACTAAAAAAAATATTATTGCTTTTCTGGCCATTATGCAATATGCTCCAAGACGCATCTATTTTTTGGAATCATTCGAGTGATTACAATAGAAAGGACAGATTTCCGGGTATAGGGCTTAAGAAGGCTCAAGACAGATATAGACTTCCGTTTGCGGAATGACATAGAGTTAGATATTTAAGGACCGATGTTTAGTTGCATATTAAGCCATGGGAGTTTAAATAACAACGCATCGGATATAAGAATTTGCTAAATGCGTACATATCTATCGTTGCATGACTAACCAATGCCTGTGTTTACGAGTTTCTTCTTTGGAGGCGTTTCCATATTTAGAGATATGTCCTTTCTCCCGTATTAAATCCATGGAAATCAGCCAATGTTACATATCCGAGCGTGATGGAAAATACGTTTGTTTCCGGGGAACAGGAAATTCTAGAAGCTTCAAGAGAATCACTAAAGTAAATAAAAGAGCATTTCCTCTTCTTATTTTTATTAGCATGTGGAATATTTTTGAGAGAGGGGAGGATGGTGGGAGGAGATGTATTCGAGAATAGTATTTTACAATCTCCACAATACTAGTATGTGTCTCTATCAAGTTTTGAGTAAATATCATCAGTTTTTTAAAATCAGATGGGGCCAAGAAATCACCAACAGGGGCTTTCCAAAGTGTTGGCACAATGTGTACCTGGATTTATTGTTCCTATTAATTGGTTGTTAAGTTTAGTTCGATCGTTGCCTGATCGGTTAATAATGGAAATCTAAACCAACAATTAAAATATTGATCTATTGTTTGAGAAGCCTCTGGAGTTTTCATGGTACAAAGAAAGAAAAAAATATCTCGAACGGCAGGTGTTTCGGATGAGTATGTAGATTGGGGGAATCCGGGTTCCTGGTTCGCCTAGATTCTATGAACATTCTTGGCTAATTCTATTGGAAAGACTTAATAAGCAAGCCACGGCAGCTCTAGCCAATGGCTGCAAGGAATGTTTGATGAAGTGGATAATATTTCCCACTCTGATCTTGCAGCATGCCCTTTACAACCATTGGGTATGTACATGTATGCCTATTTGCTAAAATAACAAGAAGCTGTCAATCTTGCTTTGTTTATATCGTCTAATTACTTTGCTTAACAATATCGTAATTATTCCCCGAAACGTTTTCTCAAATTCTTGGTCTTTTTTGTTTCTTTTCATTGCAATTCAGTATCTTTTGACAATATAAAGAGAGAAAGAATTGTAGATTGACAGGTCAAGTTAGCGAACGTGATATATTGTTATTGTAGTATTCATTTGTGATATTTGCTGCATGAATGTTGTTTTTCATGAACTAAAACAACCATTAAACGAAATCACAGACAAACTCAAAATAATAATCTCTGGGGTGGGGAGGGGGGAGGGTGCTACACAAAAGGAATATTTCTAAATAAGCCAACCTCTCCTCTATATACAATTCAGAATTTGCTGTAACTGTTTTTGTATATACTTGCACTTGTAGATCTAGATCTGAGTATTAGAATAATATACAATTGGATGTGGAGGGGGGGGGAAGTGTATAATGTTAAAAGTTAGTTTATTCTCAAATTTTTTAAGATTGCTATTTAAATTTATTTAATTAAAAAAAAATCAATTTAGTGTTCCACTCTCATACAGAGAAAAAAAAAAGAAGATTTCAGGGTTCCCACACATTTTCGACAATTAACTTTTCTTTAACAATCTTACACACTCCCCCCATCAGCATACACTCATTCACTACCTTTGTTATAAGGAAGACATTTACAAACACAGAAAGAAGAAAATAAAGCGACTATGGGGAATGCTGCTTCTTCTTCTACTAACAACAACAACGATGATTTTAGAAAATCAACTGCATCTTATAGTCAAGTAAATAACGCGAATCATGTCAGAAAATCAGCAGCCACCAAGAATGTTAATTCTTTAGATGAAGAGTTTAGCGATTTGATCTTACATCAAGTGAAACCAATAACCTCGCAATCATCGTCATCTACAGCAGCTACCTATCATTTAACTCAACTGCAAGTTCAACTATATAAACAACAGGTTCAACAACAGCAGCAACAGCATGCTTCAGAGTTACAAGAATTGCTGCAACAGGAACAATACGAAAGATTGGTAGAAAAGCATGATCATCAATTTAGTCTAGACCAATATAACCAAGAATCAAGCCAACAACAACATGAGGTTCACTCTCAATCTCAATATACTGATCACTTCTCAAATGACTTGATTGAAGATCAATTCAATGAATTGGATGAAGATTTGGTGGAGACAGATACTGCTTCTCTCCTGAGAAATATACTTCCTGATGATGAGTATCAAGAGGATGAAGAAAGACCAAGTGATGACATGGAACTAGATGAACCATTCCCACATGACTCTGATTTAGAGTATCGTGAACATAATGAACATCCAAGATCACTCACACCAACCCCAGAATTGGCTAAAATCGATTTTACCAAGATTTCACATAATAACAATTCCCACTTGTATCAACGTCAAGTGGTTTCACCCCCGCCACCCCCTGCTAATATGATGTCTGCAGCACAAGTTGCTCGTATCTCTCATTCACCATCCCCCAATCCTGAGCAACAGCAACAGTATCAACAGCAGCATCAATCGCAGCATCAATACAATCCACACTACCAAGCAAAGAGGTTTAAGGGACCAAATAATATGGCTTTGATCCCGGTACAAATTAAATGGGTCAATACTAGCAAGGAAACAATTAATAAAATTGCTATAATTGGGTCCTTTTCCAATTGGAGAGATGTTATTAAACTATCACTCCTGCCCAAACACCCAGATGAATATGTAACACATGTTAATCTACCATTAGGGGTTCATAAATTGTTGTATATTATCAATAATGAATACAGAGTAAGTGATCAGTTACCTACGGCTACCGATCAAGAAGGGGTTTTCTTCAATTGGTTTGAAGTTATTGATGACACTCACTTATTCAACCATTCATGGAATCAGCATAATCCAATTGGAGCCTCCACTTCTTTCAATGCTAATATTGTCACACCAAATTCTTCGGATACTATTCAACAAGACCATGATGAAGAACAACAACTCCGTACGGCTGGTCAATACGAGGTTGATATGATAAAGGACAAAAGTAATACTTTCTTACAAAGATTATCCAAAGAGAATTCCGTTGAACATGTTGAATATGCGGCTGAGGAAAATGATGAGGCAGCATTGCAGGAAAAGCAAAGGGAACAACAACGTTCAGATAACTATCCATATCACAAACCAGAGCATTTAAGTAATCCTGATCTTCCCCCTTCATCATATGACAACAAGTATGTGCCTTATGAAATGGGGTCTACCAATTCATTATTAGAGTCTCATCAAAGTAGAGAGCTGGAAGTGGCATATTCTAATGAAATACCAGAAATGTTTGTAAACTACGAATATTTCAGTCAAAAGGCGACAAATAGCGAATTATCCGAACCTCCCTTATTGCCGCCACATTTAAATAACGTGCTTTTGAATAAGATTTCCTCCCATCCTAATCCACATTCACATTCCCATGGTTCGAATCTAATCCCACAAATCCCGCTGAGTTTCAAACAACAAAGCGATTTATCAAGTTCGGCAACGGCTCATAGTAATAAGAGACCTCCTTTAAGAAGAGCTGATAGTTCATATTATGCATCCAATAAAGAGTCTATTCATCTATCTATTCCAAATCATGTGATTTTGAACCATTTAATGACAACTTCTATAAGAAATGATGTTTTGACAGTTGCTTGTATTACTAGATATTCTGGAAAGTTTGTGACTCAGATTATGCATTCACCTGCTGATGCTAGTGAATAGCATGTTTGAAAGTGTTTGTTTATGTGTGGAATGTATATATGAATTTAGTAAGAATAGAGATCAGTTGTATAATTTCTTTGATTGTAGTGTCTCTTTGCTGTATTATTTGAAAGTCATCAATTAAGTGTAGAAGTGTGGGAAGATTCTATCAGTATGTTCAGACTTCTTACTCTCTAAAACAGTTGTCTCAGAAAATTCTGAATGATGACCAAGGAAAATAATTTGTCGATCTTTTCTTTAGTTGCTGATTGAGTAACCCCGATAAGCAATAAGACTACTTTCTAACATATGGACGAGCTACAGGTGATGCAAATGCACGCAGTGTGGTTTCCACATTGCTTTTTTTTTGCAGCAATAAAATCTGACATTTTCTCGCATGAGTTTCGAACCATCTTAAACCTTAGATATACAACCAGGAATACTTTAAAACATTAATACATATATACATGTTATATCTATATTGATGGATGTTTGCTTTAAATGCAAAAAAAAATGTTAAATCTCTTTGTAAAGCGTGTCATCTTTATGCAAGGACAATGCTAATCTTCTCTGTATTGTTAAAATTGACAAGTGTACCATCCCGAAGGATAGTACGAACAAAGTTTTTAGTCGGAAAGCTAAAAACAATTTGATGAATTTTTTTCATTTACCTTTAAATAGCGATCTGGCACAAATAAAGTGTATATAAGTTACTATATTTCTTTTGCTTATCAAGAGGAGGTGTTTCTTAGAGTATTTGACAATAGCAATATGGGTTGTTGTTGCAAATAGGTGGAAGAAGTTGATTGTATATGTAAAAAAAAAAAAAGAGGAAGTTCTCGAAACATGTGGAGCGCCCATATTCTCTTCAAATTTGAGAATAGTAATATGGTTCGACTCTTGGAGGGAATGTGTATCAACTCGCTTTTCGTTTCTTTGAACAATTGTAAAGATTCTGGGTTCTGATGTGGACTGTAGAAGACGCTTTGGAAATGACTAGTCCCTGTAAAAAAATTCTCATATTTGTTCACAATAGTTTTGCCTTATGTGAGGCGTTAGATGGGTAAGGAGTTAAGTTGATGATGTACTCTAACAGAAAGTTATATCTCCTTAATATATATATCCTGCAAAAGTTGGACAATTTATAAAGAAATAGAGGAAGTTCAGATACACACTCTTGAAAATCGTCCTCTGCCTACCTCGCACTCATTGTTCCCATCCTTTTGGAACAGTGCTAGTACTGTGTCATATTATTGGAGATGATGTTTGGGCATCATTAGGTATAAAGTGTGGGTCTAGATTCTTATCTATTTCTTCTATGCTTCCCCCATTCAAGTTTTTTCTTTAGAAGAATCATTTCACCCAGAGCCTTTCAAATGAGGAGCTTTTTACGTCCTCAAAAAGTCGTTCACTTTTTTTTTTACATATACAATCGTTCTCATGCAAATTAAATAGTATAATCAATCAACGGAGCCTCCTTTTACTGGTGGGAAGTTTTGGACTTCTAAACTGACCGTCGATCATTGTCCAGGCATATTTGTTGAGGAAGGAAATCTAGACGCCCTAATAATTTTCTTTTGTGCTAAATTTTCTTCTTGGGTTATGTCTGGGTAGGCCGATTCGACCGGGTTTGGTGGCTATTCATGGAATACAGAAATAATATCTTTCGGTAACTGTTCTCCGAAGGTATATTTCGTAAAGTAGAAAAAGGTTGTATAAAAATATTTCAAGAAAAATAAACATTAATTAGATGCAAGACCATTTCACAAAATAAATCACACGTGGAGCCACAGTTTCAACCTTCTCCTTCGATTCTTTATTAGAAGGTAGAAGCCAAAGGTTTAAACATGTTGCTCGTGTGTGTCAATTTCGAAATTAAACTTACTGAACTCGTTCAAATATCACTTTCAACCGAAGATATTGATTGACTTCCATTGTCAAGCATTTCGCAAATCATTATCAAATAATGATAGTACAATTGATAAAGACATTAACTTGTCTAATTTGTAGAAGAAGAATGAGTAAATTATTTTCAAGAAGATCAAGATCTTGAATTGCATTCGCTTCCCTATTTGTAAGAGCCTTGACAACAGTAGTGTGTTTGCTGCAAATGTCTTAATACTGTAATAGCTGCTTCTCAATATTACTTTTTTATGAATGTAAGTATGCTTGCTGCCAGATCCAGACTCCTGAAGGGTACATGTAGAATGTGATTCTTTCTTTGTTTTTTAGAGCTTTATTGAGTAGCCAGAAAAGTGAAAAAAACTCCAAGTTTCAATGTGTAGATAGCTTACAAATGGTGGTAGGGGGATTTAGGCATGAAGAAGTGCCGAAGAGGTTGGTTATCTTCGTCTCAAAATGGTTTTAATGTACCACCCCATTGGTGATATTTCTTTTGTAAGAAAGTCTGATGCGTGAAATTGAAATTAAATGGCTTTTAATAATTTTCAGGATTCTCAAAAGCATGACCCATTCTTCATTAACAACCATGAAGTGAAAGAAGCCTGAGCCGTTGTTTTTTTTCCGAAACATGAACTTTTCCAACTGCGACCACCCGTGAGAGCCGGTTACGCTTTAGGTTTTATGTTATGTATTATGTAGTGGTCTGCAATTAAAATTGTGCATTAAAGTTTACTAAAATGTTTATTTTTCCGCAACTAAACACCGTGTTGAATTTTATCTCTATCTACGGAAATGCAATTTCCTCGCCTCTGAAACTCGTTCACAAAAAAAAAATTCTCTGAAGATCGTTTATGCAATGCGACACCAAAGGGGTAAATTAAAAGCCTAAAAAACTAACGAGAAAGGTTCGTCTAAAGTTGCCCATTCTACAAACTGCAGGAAATATTTTTAATAAAGACAACATCTATTGGTAATATGTAATAAAAATTAAAATATACATAGAGACAATTCTTGCTATGTAATCAAACACGGAAGAATCTCCATTGGTAAAAAATGAAGGAGCAGAATGAATTAAAGAATAAGATATATTTTAAGAAGGATAGCAGAATATGAAATGAATTAAAATGAGTCTTCTGAAATCTGCGCAAAAGACTCAACTTATTTTTGTAGTATGATGTTGTCCTTCTCTTGAAGAACCGACAAACCCGGCACCAATTATTTATTTGGTTTCAATGTTGGTACGATTTAAGTGCCTATTCATACGACGTTCTCTCCTTAATCTAGTTTGCATCAAGCTGTAACTCCCTCTGCGAATAATAACCTCCAACTTGAATGGATCTAATTCAGGATAGAATACAGAGCTATAGGAATACAACTTAGTAATTAAATCTTGTCTTCCTTCTCTGGTAGTATCTCTAACCCATGTTTGATGACCCAATTTGAAATCACAATAGTTTCCAAATAACTCCAAGACCTTCACCTCGATTTCTTTAGTAAGCGAAATATGATAACCGTCAAGCTCTAAAATTCGAGACAATTCATAAATGTTCAACCTTGAATAATACCTATCATTCTTTGAATCGGATAACCTTTCGATGTCTCTGGCTTTGTTTGGCTTTTTTGATTTCTTCTTAGATTTTGATCTCTTTTGGAATGATGATTCTTGAGATAATTCTAAGTCTATTTCGTCATATGTAAGTCTACAAGAACCCAATCCTGCTAATTCGGGCTCAGTTGCTCTATGTGGTCCTATGCCAGTTGGCCTGTAGTTGGAAGTAACACCTTCTGGTAATTTATACTTTTGATTTTTCTTGTGTTCGCTAAGGGGTATAAATTTTGATTTTTTCAATTCCATAAATGCGCGAGAAAATGGAAGTGGCAATACCTTTGGACCAATACTATAAATATCAGAACCTAACCTGGGTTGCACCATTTCTTCATCGTCACTCTCGTTCATACAGTATGTGTTACTGTCTTGGCTGGTATTGATAGTGTCTTGGTTGTTGGTGTTTGGATGTTTCGACATTGAATTTGTGGGGGTTGTCATATTTTTAACAATTCTAGCAAAGTCTGCTCTTCTGGAATTGAAACTTAAGGTGACAGGGTATTCTTCAGAGAATAAACTGGATGATATGATCAAGCTGGTCTTTTCTGAAGTTTTCCTTGGTTTAGACGACATCCGATTCTTTCGTCTTCTTTGCGAGGAACCAGAAGAAGGTGGTTTACCAGCAAGGACAGGAAACAACAAGCCGGTGGGAGATGATGGCGGCATATTTAAATATGGGAATGGTGTAGTTTGTCCATTGACCGAGAAGCTTGAAGACCTTGGGGTGTATGATTGTTGTCTTTCTATAGCGATAATTGGTTGACTTTGAGATTTCAAAATGGGAACTTGTTGTTTGAATTCAAATTGGGGCAATAAATTCAAGTTTTGTTTTAATTCATTGATCATCTCCGAGTTACTAGAACTGCTTGTTTGAAAATTAGAAGGGTATGTCATCAATATGTTACTACTTGAACTCTGGACAATATCATCTTGGTGGGGACGAGTTATTCCTTGACGAGCATGGGTTGATTGACTTGGTAGGTAGAATACCCCAGCAGAAGGAGGAAAAGAACCGGTAGGAAATTGATATTCTGGAGTAGGACTTTTTGAAATAGTTCTTGCGTCAGACATGTGATCAAATACCAAGTATTGCAATTCTTCTTTGTTGTCAGGTGGAGTATTTGGTTCTGAAAGGAATGCAAGGATGTTTTCTTGTTCAATATCACTAATTTCATCTTCATTACAAGTTATTAAAATTGGATCTAAGTTTTGATTATAAGCGATTGTTCTTCCAGCAGGAAGTTGTTGTTGCTGTCGTGATTGTTGTGAGTAATTAAAGTAGCATCCCTGAGTGTGAATTTGACGATACATTGGCAGCAACTGTCCCATCTTGGAAGGTAAACCTGCACCATTGACCATGTTGGGCGGAGAATTATAAGTTGTAATTGAGGTTGTAATTGAATTAGATCTGACGTTTTGACTCATAACAGCGGAAGTCATGGACACCTGGTCCAATTCCCAATCCCTGCTATCAAATGACATTTCATCTTGGGCAACAAAGTTGCTAGCAACTGTTGTTGAAGTGGTTGAGATTGTAGCGTTGGGATCGTCATAGTGGTTAGTATCATTGACCTCATCAAGATAGCAGCTAGCAAGATATTGACTAAGGTCAATCTTTGGTTGATAAATTGGATCAGACATTTTGTCAATCTTACCAAGAAGTTTGTGTTATTTATAAAGTTTGTTGTATTTTTACAAATCCTAAATTAAAATTCAAGAAAAACTTTTGGGCAAATGCTGCAAAACTTTTGGATGACACAAGAATTGTAGGTTGTTTGTTGTTACTACAGCTAATATAATGCTTATTAATGTAACAGATGATTGACAGCCAGAATGCAAAGGATGTAAATGCCTTGGGAAAAGAAAGGTAAAAGTGGAAACAGGTAATTTAAAAATTAAAAGTTGTCAGAAAAAGACACAAGGGGGTTGTCCTACTTTTTGTGTGGTTGCTGTCAAGCTTCAGGGGGTGGGGGGTTGGTTGAGGCAGTGATAATGCACAAAGATCTTGGTGGCTGTCGTTTCTTTGTTTTAAAGTGTCATTTCTTGGTTTAAAAGAGGTTCTTTTTACGTATATATAAATAAAATAATTCTGGTTGTAAACTTAATTATAAAATGCATTTCTTTGCAGTTTGTATTGTGATTTCTTTTTTTATGCTTCAAATATCTATAACCCAGACAACGTCTAAAATATTATTTCAATTTAGACATTTGTGTCATAAGTCGTATTACTCTTGTTTCTCCAAAAAAATAATATATATAATGAAATTATCATCTCATTTTAAAATCTCGGCATTAAATTTGAGGGTTTGATCTTCGTACCTTTTGGGCGCAAAAAAAGGGTCGCTTCGTTGGTTTTTCTTGTATTTACTGCGATAAATTCCCTTAAAAACACGTTTCTATGCATCCGTTTCCATGATAATTCTAATATACATGATCGGTGCAAGTAATCTCCTCGAATATATCGGATGTGTACGGTGTATGGTTATGAGAACGTAAATCATACCCATCCACAACCCTTTATTTCTTTTTATGTTTGTAGCACAGCAGAATTGGTTTGAAAAATATTTTCTTGCATTTAATTCAAAAAAAATTGAATATTTTTTAATAAGCCTATAGATTTCGCATTAGTTTTTGTTGATTGTTCGGGTATTTTTTTGCTCTTTACGTCAATTTCTATTTTTTTAGGTTTTTCTTCCTTCTATTTTAACGAATTTGTAGATCTACAATTATGGAAAACGTCATTCTGTGCAAGTGATTAGATTACTTTAAAGACGATTCCTTGTTCATAATCAGTTTCAAGATCATGTCTATCTTAATTTCTTTTTGTGTGAACCTTCCTTGAAGCTCAGTTCGCAAACATTCATTCACCCCAATCCCAAGAGTTGGGGTTGGTTTCCCGGTCCCTCCATTATATTTATATTTTTAAGCTTTTCATCGATTCGATCTCAACGGTTGTCTTTATCCGTAATTTTTTTCTAAAAAAAAAAATAATTAATATCATAAATAATATTTTTAGTTCACAGGGCTCTAAACCAAACTTTACTATGGTTTTTATTACTTTCATTTTTCGAAAGGCTCCTCCAAGAGGTGATTCATGAACCAAAAGAAAAGACATAGAAAGAATAGGAACTCGCAATTTTAAAAGGACTTAGCATAGAAATTTGCAACAAGAAAGAAATGGTCATTATGGCTGATATATGTATTTCTATTTCCTTCAAGTGTGATATCCAAAGCCTTTTCCTCCTTCGTTTTAAAAGGGTTCAATGTACAAATATGTGGAGTTCGTTCTCCGCAGATTCATAGCCTATCCTTTGTCTTATGATTTGGATGTGTATAAGAAAAATGAAGCAAGTGGAAATATTAAAAGTCTTAGACAATAATCAATGAATTTGTTTTTAGTTCAATTTAAAATTTAAATTAAATCCAATTTTATTTTTTAAAAGGCTTGAAAATAATAAATTATTTTTTAAACTACTTCAAAATACTTATTTCTTCCATCCAAAATGTGTATCCCGAAAAGATGATTAGACAAGAATATTTTTTAAAGCTCAACTAAGAATTGCAAATAATATTCTATATTAAATTGGTACCTTTCGATGCCACTCGTATAACAAGAGTCCAGAACCACTTTGCGAAGTCAAGCAAATTCTAAGACATCAAGATGTTATGAGCGACAGTGAGACTAGTAAAGCAGTGATTCAAAACTATGCTTCAACTCCATAATGAATTCAAAGCTCCAGCTGATATTAAATCTATAGAAGTTGGCAAATCATGCGCTTGGTTACTCGATTGGGTAATAATGATACCGCACTAGAATTGGGAATCTAAAAAGTGTGGATCGGGAAACAATGCTGGGACAGCTTGGGAATCAAGCGTCAATATGCTTAGTCGTAAATATCACCGAGGTTTCCAATATATAACCTTCTTCTCTAAAGGAAGAATTCAATTGATTAACCATGGCTGGGACCCAATTCTTCTCGGTAATACACCGAGCCGGGTATTGTCAAGTTCCCTTCCTTGTAGGAAGGGGGCCGCGATCCTTCTTATGTTTTGATACGAAGTATGAATGGGTTTATTTATGAATGGAATATGAAGAGAAAATTGTGGGGTCAATCAAGGGATAGAATTCCAAAACGGTGTTAAACCAAGAAAGAAACCAATCATTCTAAAAAATATTTATGCGTTTAAAAGTTTGTGCTTTGAAATCTGTTTTAAAGGTTTCTTCCTTGAGGCAGGTACTTGTTTCGCTAAGAATAATGAGGCTAAGGTATGAAACCTGTAAATGTTTATATATTTTTTAAGAGTTCACAAAGCAGTGCTACAATAATGATATTTTTGTTGCTTTTTTTCCTGAATAATATTATTTAAGAATATTTTTTAACTAGGACATATAAATTTTAGATTTTCTCTAATATGTAGGAATGCACCCTTTTACACTAAAAATCTATTGTCAAGCAGTCTAAAAAAACTCTATTTTATTTTTTATTTTGTTTCTTTTTTGTGTCGCCGTTACTGGAGCGATATTATTTTTAACGGCGATAGTATGATCTCACAAGAAAAGAAGACCTGTTCAAGATTCCCATGTGTAAAGGTGGATCCTAGCTGCATTCAGCGGGGCTCATACCCATTTGTTTTTTTTATATGTTTTCTTTTTTACGTCATTGAGTGATTGATATTTGTTGTTTTCGTATAAGCGCGGAAATGGAGTGTTGATATTTGAAAAGATATACCATTCCGCAGATTGAGTTTGCAATTAAGTCAAAGATCTTTACATTAAATCGAATGATGCATTCGAATGTCTGGATATCAGCTTCTTATCTATTTGAATCTTTCTTCTTTCTCCTATAAAATAGAAAAAAATTCTCGTTGAGAAATATCCTTAAGGTAAGGGGTAATAATTTTTATGCAAAAATATTCGCCACAGAAAATATTTTTTCCGGAAGATAAGAACGGAACAAAACATTTTTAACCGAAGAAATAATTTCTGTCATTTCACCTCGTGCGTCAGATTTGATTGATCTCTTCCTTTGTAGCAACTTCAAAAAGGAAACTATTTAAGAAAGCTGTATTCTTTTAATTGGCACAATGTTACATGTGAAAGGTTTTTGAGACAAATCCTACTTGTTGATTTTACGAGCTTGTATTTAATCAATACATAATTTTTTCTTCATTTTGCAACCCCTCAAGAAGCACACACACCTTACCTTTTCCTGATTCACACTTTTTCCTTTAATATCTCCTGGTGAAAATGGCTGGGAGGAATCACAAATGATGGGAACGGTAAGTAGCGGAAAACTTAAACAAAAATGTTGGGTAAGATATATTGCCGCAAATGCATTAATACGTATTCAGTTTTAAACTTAGGGGATGGAAAGAAGTGCCACAAAATTATGAGAGACCGCGGAGGGGGGTAAAGTTTTCCACTGTAAAGTTTGTGACTTTTTCGCACTTTATCTGATTCAACAATGTGGGAATGACTAGTTCAAAGAAGGTATAGTATCGGCTTCTCTTTCTTTTGTTACTTCAAAAGGAATGTTTTGCACCCTTTTTTTATGCTAATTAACAATGAAGCTTAACGGAATTACATTTTGTTTCTAATTATTTATTGAATCTAGACTCAATACAATTTAGGACATATTTGCAATACAGCTCGATAAAAACCGGCATATTTTTGCATGTCCTGATTTAGCTATTTATACTATGTAAACGTGATTCCTGTATTCCAGGTTTAAAATACACAAAACAACACTGGCAATTAATTCATCTTCTCGAGAATATTGGCAACAACTTCATCAACATTATCTTTCGAATACTTACTAACCATCAATACATCAATCAAACCTTTCACTCCAATATTAATATCATACTTTGACAATTGTTGCAAAATCTCTTCCCTGTCTCTTTCTGTCATAAATCCAAGTTTCTGCAAAACTTTTCCGACTTCTTCCGCATTCTTTATTGGTGGTACTGCAATGGTATCCGAGAAACTATCCACAAGATTCATGTGCTTGAAAACTGAATATTGTGAAGTGGTCCCAATGATTAACAATCTTCTACCCTTTGGAGGCTTCTTAGTTAAATAGACCATTAATACTTGCAAGATATCGTTAGAAAATCTGGGTCCAATTGGATTATAATTGATGATATTCTCAATTTTATCAATCACCAAGACATTAAGTGGAGATTTGTGAACATCCCTAAAGACAGTATCAATTTCTTGAATCTTTCTAGCTTCTCCCATCCCAACCAATGTCTCAGCTGATAACATCTTAATAAACGGGAAATCGGAATTCAACGCTAAGGTTGTTGCAATGGCAGTCTTACCGACACCTGGAGGTCCGTATAATAAGACACTTCTTAAAGTTTCCGTTTCACTTGATCTAACTACGTCAACAATGGATTGTCCCTTTTCGAAAACATGCCTGATGGTCTCACTATATGGAATAATACCATGTTTAGCTTGTTGTGATAAATCTTCTTCATCGGTACCGAACGCAGGACGTATATCAGTTAAGGCTAATAAAAAGTCATCACGGGTAATCTTCATATTTTCAATGGTATCAGTATCGATTTGGGCCAATGAACCCTTCTTGGTGTGACGTGAAATGGCATAGGATTTGGCAGAGTTACATAACCCTTCGATTTCTGCACCGGTAAAGTTCTTTGTTAAAATACTTAACTCATCAAAATTAACATCTTTTGTTAACAATTTATTTTCTCTCAATTTTTTAGTGTGAATCATGAAAATATCTTTTCTTCCCTTTTCATCAGGAAGAGCAATTTCAATTTGAATTTCAAATCTACCAGGTCTTAATAACGCAGTATCAATCAAATCCAAACGATTAGTCATACCGATAACTAAGATATTATTCAATTGGTCAACACCATCCATCTTGGATAACAACTGATTGACAACATTATCACCAACACCAGTCCCATCAGATTTTGCCGACCCTCTCTGTTTAAAGACAGAATCCAATTCATCAAAGATAATAACATGCAAATCCGAGTCTTCTCCCTTTTGTTTGTATTCTGCTTCTGCATCCTTAAATAAGTTACGAATATTTTCTTCTGATGCACCGACATATTTACTCAACATTTCTGGACCATTAACAATCTTTGGTTCTTTTCCATTAAGCATTTTTGATAACTTACGGGCAATTAACGTCTTACCAGTACCTGGAGGACCAAATAATAATAACCCCTTACAATGCTTATAATCTAACTTTTCCGCAATATCAGGAGGTAAGATTCTTGAGTTGAAGGCACGACGGAAAATATCTTGAAATTCAGCATCTAACCCACCAATACCTAAATCTTCCAATTTAAAGTCAGGATTAATGATTTGTTTTCTAGCACGAGGTCTGTGGTGAACATTAGAGCCTCCTCCAAAGATACGAGATTTTAATGATTTACTCTTAGTTAAATTAATCACTGATCCTTCATAAGGATAAAACATTATATCAGTCAGCTTAATCAAAATTCCTTTTGTAGATAACTCGTTTGAATCCTTGAAATTAGGTAAATGATCTTTGGTATTAACATCAATAACTTGAACATTGTTAACCAAAACACTAAAATAAGCTCCATTTAATTCCATATAGATAACTTGTGTAGGTTGCAAGATTTGGTTCTCGTATTTCTTAATGAATAAGTCCACCAATTGATCATGATTGATAGGATTAGAGTTGGCTCTATTTTTCGATTTAAAATCAATCAATAAATCGACAGCTCCAAGATATTGTTGTTGTTGACCAGATTGGAAAATATTATAATTCTCAACATTCACCGTTTGACCGAGAGACCACTTCCCCCAACTCCTCATATTCCCTGCTAATCCGACAGTTCCTGGTTTAGTACGTTCATCTTTCGCGATTGAATATACAAAATTGCCATCTAACACAACTGGTGCTCTGTCGGGGACACTGGCGAAATCTGATGGATTAACTGCAATACAATTAGCAACTACCACATCATTCCCTGGTGCGTTATCAACAACTAATTGCTTTCTGACTGGCTCGCTTAATGGTCTCATTGGAGTTGGAGGTGGTTGAGGATGTGGGATTGGTCTATTGTGGGTAATAACTGGCTGTCCTGGTTCAGTGGGACTATTTGATACTTTTTGGAATCCAAATTTTTCCATAATTGGCATATAGGATATTGCGATCTATCTAAAATGTAAAAAGCACTGCACTATCTGATATTGATGAAGTTGTGTAAACAAACTAAACAATTTCTTTATGTTCAAAATGAAAATCAACGTAAATAATTAATCGGTGACGTTTGGATTTCTTTTTTGCCTCATTGTTTATCTGGTTGTTTTTTGGTAAAATTACACGACCATCTGTTAATGATGAAGTTTTGCAACCAAATGGAACAAGGATGGCAGTCGATTGCAATTCCAAAGAATGATCTTGGATTACAAACACGTGGGTATAAAGGTTAAGCAGTATAGAATCATTCAATTGGTTGAATAATCTTAGACGACCAGCCACAATATTTGTTGTCAGGTGTGCATGAAAGATTTTGACTGGTAAGAACGCCTACAGAAACCGATTAAACTTTATATCACTATATTTACCTTAACTTGTATTCAAAGTTGTAATCCTCTGAGTATCAAAGCTATCTTTGAGGATATGCGTCGTTGTCCTTGGTGGACATTTTGGCATGAAAAGGATGGCACTTTGTTCTGCTATTCCATGATCAAAACTCGCGTAATCATATATTTGGTTTCCCGGAGACAAGAAATCTGAGATTATGCACTTCTGTAGATCCATATAGAAACTATATCATCAAATTAGGACATCTGATTGGTTTAATCACTTTCTAATGGTTTTCTTGATTTGCATTTCCTTCTTGGTTTCAGGATGGGTTTAGTTTTTTTTTTACATATACAATCTGTTTAGATATCTCTTACAGGACTAATACATTCAGAAGTTAACCTTACTTGTAGTCTTTCAGATATCCAGGGATTGAAGCTACTGAATCCTAATTAACAAGTCGAAAATATTATTGTACTCCTTTTTGTTTATATCTTTGAGCTCACGGTCCAATTCATTCGCAAATGGGTATCGTACACATCGAAGAGTCTTAACAACTACTCCTACACACTTAATCTATAGGATGCTGCTGAAATAAGGTTTTAGGCAATGATGCTTTTTGCCTTTAATGTATATTGTTTTTCTGTTTGTTATATTTCTGTATGTTAGTATGTATATGAACTCAATAAACAGATTGTATATGTAAAAAAAATCTTTGAATTATCTTCCAAACGAACATCAACGACAAACTTTTTTTTGCAACAAAATGACAAAATTATTCAGAAAAGGTGCCATCAAAAATGCTTCCTAGGAGTAGCCAAAAATCTAGCGATCAACTCACGCATCTCAAGTCTTCTAAAAATCATCCAGGGAAATACCTTATATTAGTTTATTTGATGCTCCCGGCCCTGGATGACCCAGAAATCGACTCTTGAAATCATAATCTGATGACCACGAATTTTCGAAAATTTTGGAAACCAGGTTTAGTGGTGTAGCGGCTATCACGTTTCGTTTACATTATCTTATGATAAAGTAAGTCCCGAAAAGGCCCCGAGTTCGATCCTCGGCTAGATCATTTCCATTTTATTTTTTCCCCTGTTTCATAACCGAAAAACTTATGTGCAGGTACACAAAAAAAGATTAGAGATAATCCGGAGTTCTAAATTACATTTCCAAACACCCCTTTTTTCCGGACAAATCTGTTCCAGTTTTTGTCAATTGCCCCAAAAATGCAAAAAAAAAAACTGCAAAAAATGTTTTTTTTTTAGCAACAATTGAGAAATTTACGAGAAAGCCGGAAAAACAAAGAAATTGTTTGAGAATTATTTATATCGTACACAACACACTTTAAATTTAAAAAAGTAATACAAAATAATATTAAAAACTATAAATTATATATATAAATAAAACGATATAGACAAAACCTGATATATAACCACCTTTAATAACATAGATAGGGGGTGGAGGAAAAAGCATAATAACAACAGTAATAATAACACATATATATACACACAAAGGAAACCAAACAAGATTTAATTATTAATGAATTTGGGATAAAATTTTTTTTTTTCTTTCAGAGCAACAGACAACAACAACAATTTGAAAAGATTGTTCAACTTAGTGAACTTCTGAAGTGTGGTCTAAAAGTCATCTTATACACATACATGGATTTTTGTTTTTGATTATTGATTTTTCTTTTTTGATTAAATATGTAAAACCATCGTAAATTACAAAAAATGTAGCAAACAACTATTAACCATGACTGTATTCACTACCAATATAAACAAAACCTTAAAAAACACGAATTAGTCACGAGAAAACAAGTTATTTACCATTTTGGATTATTTGAGCCAAATAATGCATTATTCCCAGCCTGGACTGACGATGTAGTCGAAGACCATGAACCACTATAAGCATGTCCATTGTTTTGTAATTGCCTGTAGAATTGTTGAGATGGAACATGTTGAGCGCCATTTTGCATACCTGCTGGAGGATGTGGTGGCGGACCTGCATAAAATTGTCCTTGTTGCATTAGTTGAGGTTGTGGAAAGTATCCACCTTGTTGCTGTTGTTGTTGCTGGGGATGGGGAGGAGGTGGAGAAGGAGTATATTGTTGATTCTGAATATAAGCGGTGGTATAATGTCCAGATGTAACCGATTGATTTTGAATTGAAGGAATGCCAGAAGATTGTTGAGGAATTTCTGAAATTGAAGATGATTGTTGTTTGTGGTGGTTGGCGTAAAATGGCTGATTGCCATTAAATTGAGTATCCAATGGGATTTGCTGCGGCATAAATTGATTTGGAATAGCCATTGTTTGTTGCAGCTGCTGTTGAACTGCATAAGGATACTCATTGACAAATGGCTGTTGCTGTTTAGCACCATAGTTATTAGAAGGAATAAATGATGAAGTATTAGTTGGCTGAGGTGATACACTATTACCATTGGCATTTGGATAGAATGTAGTAGGTAATGAAAAGTTTCTATTGATCTTTTGTTCAGCAAACATTGGTTGGCCATAAGCCATTGCATGATCGACATTATTTCCCAAGATATTTGTTGGTGAAGAAGCATTTCTCAAATGAAATGACTGCTGCTGTTGTTGCTTACCTGGGAAATAAGAGTCATTAACAACAAACTCACCATTGGCATTCATTTGACTCTTTTTATTGATAAACTTTTGTTGATTCTGAGATATATTCAAATTTGGAGTTGTCGAGGTTGATGATGAAGTATTTAAAATGGTATTAATCTTTGATTGAATTCTCTTTCCAAAGCTTGAAACAATCTTACAATTCTGGAACCAATACTTGATTATAAGAATTTGAAACCCTTGTTGTTGACTGCCTTCATTCTCAAATGATTCTGGTAATACCAAAGATAATTTTTCAACCCTGGAATAATCAACATGTGGATTAACCAAAATATCAATCATAGTCTGAATTACATAATTTCCATAAGGATCATTGATTAATTTATTCAAATCATTCATCAATATATTATAAATCAATTCAAATTTCAAATTAGCAAAAGCAACATTATTAGTTTCATTATTATAACAATTTTTCAAAAACTTTTCAACTACATTGGAACTAAATTTCAAATTACATAAATGATCAATATCAAATTTAACAAAATTTTCAAAAATCCTATAATTCATATCCATTGAATTAATTGAAATCAAATATTGTAAAACATAATTTCCAAATTGATCATTAATCAACATTTTGAAATTTTCAAACTTCAAAATTGAAGCCGCAAATTCATCCAATTGTTTAGGAGTAACATGATTAAGACACTTTTGCAAAACACAACATCCATGTTTATGAGTCGCAACCGTATATAATTCATCAATAATAGAATCATAAATAAACTGACAATCTTCTGGTTGATATTTATTTAAAATCTTTTGAATAACATGATTTCCATTCAAATCTTTAATCAACTCGATAATATAAGGTTTTAACCCCTTAATCAATAATCCTAATTGATATGAATTATTTAAATTATCAATAATCTTTTGTAAAGCTCTTGTACCATGTTGATTAATTGAGATTTGAAATAAATTAAATTGTAAAATTTCCAACAATAAATTCAAATTAGCTTCATTACAATAAGCAATCAATTTTTGAATCAAATAATTCCCAAATGGATCAATAATTAATTCATACATATATGGATAAATTTGTTTAAATATAATATCAAAATTCGAATGTCTCACTTGATAATTTGAAATCAAATTCTCATCAATCTTCTTTTGTAAGAATCGACAACCATATTGATCTTTACTTAATCTTAAAATCTCCAGTTTCAATTGAGAAAGCGGAAGTTTATTGATCGATGCTAGATATTCCTTATCAATCTTTTGTGACATATTGATGGATGGAGTAGTACTACCAGAAGGAGTAGCAGAACTTGATGCAGATGTGTACGCTTCACTACCAAAGGTAAACTTAGTACCTGGACCACTACCACTAGCAATAGCATTATTAGCATGATTTCCAATATTCACCCCGCCGGCAGCAGCATTGTTATATGAATTCATAGCCACAGCACCATTACCAACCATCAACGTAGCATCATTTGCTGTCCCAGCGTCAATTGTTGAACCATTAGAAGAAGAACCGGTAATTGGTTGTAAATTAATATTTGGAGGAGAGGTGGTCGTGCGAATTGACAATTTTCCTAATGAGGTTTGACAATTGATAGTGGATGATGATTCATCAGCATCCAATGACGGGATCATTAACGGAGTAGATAATACATTTTTATCATTAATACCAAAGTTAGGCAAATTCAAATTATGATTTAATTTCGTGGAAGAATCCCAAAGCATTGATTTACCAGTTATGGAAGTAGAAGTTGATTTTGTAAACCCATTAGATAAACTACGATTATGGAAATTTGAGGAGGATGAACCAGATGCAGATGAAGTAGCAGGAGTAATCTGTTGAGATTGATGTGTTGGTGGGGTTGTTGGTTCTATAAGTGAAGTTATAGAATTAATGGATAAATTATGTCTATGTGACATTGTTTGATTTATCTATGCAAAATATAAAATGTGTAATAGTATATGAAAATGTTAATAAACTTAAATGTCTTTTATATATATGTATTAAAATGTCTTGAACTTCAATGATATAACAATATGTTCATTAACTAATATTTAGGAATACAAAATGTGTACTGGTTGTTCTTCTTCAGTTGTGGTTGGTGGATTGAGTTAAGTACCAAAAAAGGAACCAAAAAAAAAAAATTAGCGGAGGGAAAGGGATCAATGGGGAAGGGGGATCTCGGTAATGATTAAGATGGATGTGGGATGGGATAAAACTGCAACTCAGTTGATCAACTATTTGATTTCCTAATACCTAATACCTGTAAAGACTCAAGTAACTTGTAAGAAATACTAAAAGTTGATCTTTGTAAGATTAGTTTGTGAGTGGGGGATTATGGATTTGATGGGTATGGGTTGAGTTAGTTGAAACAAGTTTACCAAAAACAAGTTACAAGCAAACTATGAAATTTTCGAAAGGAGGATGATTTGGTTTGGTATTTATAAAAAAAAAGAGGAAAAGGGGGATAAAGAAGAAGAAGAAGAAGAAGAAGTAAGAAGGGAGAAATGGGAAATGGGAAACGACGAGAAAGTAAAGAAAAAAGGATACCTGATTTTTTTTTTATTATATGGGATGGGTTAAACTGTAATTGTACCAAAAGTGTGTATATAAGTCTAATTGCGTGTGGTTTACTATTTACATATACAAAAAAAGAATGTTAAGTCTGAAAAGGTAAAAAAATCGTTTATCAAAAAAATATTTTTTAAATTAAATAATAAATTCTTCAGTCTTTTTTTTTGTTGCAGATCATGTAAATATCCTGGTTTGAGAGGTGTTAATTTTATTGCTGCTAATTAGTTTGCGTTTTACAGCCCATAATTTTAAGATAATCAATATATATAGTCAAACGGTTATCATACGTTCGATATTAATGTAAGTATATACATGTAACCCTGAATAAAACTATCAATTATTTTAAACTACTTCCCCCCCAATGGTGTGTGGTATTTACAAATTGTCGTGACTGATGCAATGAAAGGAGCAAACTAAAATTTTCTGTCGGTTACGTTTTTATATTTAAAATTTGCAAGTTAACACTCAGAATTTAAAGGTTGTTACAAGAAAAAAATTACTGTAGTATTAAAAGTAAGAAAGACTGAATGATATATTGCTTAAGAGACCTGGCTAATAATATGCTCCTGGAACTGGCCCGTTGGTTCCATTGGTGCTTCAGATATGTGATCAATGGGAGGAACTCAGATAAAATACCAATCCAATAGAAGGTAGGTGTGACTTGTTTCGGCTCTATAAATTAAAACTGATATGAACCGTTTTATCAAATGTTTTTGATTTGTTTAATTTAGGAAGGTTCTTACTTTTTACTTTTAATTAATTTAATTGTCTGTCAGTAATATTTATGTTAAGTGGCACAGGCAGAAACAGCATTTTCACTGAAAATAATTTCGACAGTCATTTTTTTTTTTGCGGCACCTCCTTTCCCGTTTTGGTGGCATTTCATAAATTTACATTTAACTGCAAATTATTCCAGGAGTTTAATATAGCAAATCTGATTTCACATTCTCTGATTGTCAATAAGGATATTCTCTTCCACACCCCGCTCCACATACACCCCTTCAGGTTCTTGTGTCAGTGAAATTGCTTTGAAAAATCTGTTTGGGCATTTCTTTTTCGGGAAAAACTATACAATTTTGTTGTTTCAAATGAGAACATGTAAAAATAAAATTCCACAACTGACAATCAAGAAAAATGTCGGAACAACTTCCAAACATGATTTCTAACACCTATTAAACATGAGTGTTGACTTACACACCGTGGCCAAGTCAATCATTAATTGGCAATCGTCTGCAGACATTCGTTAATACAGTAGTAATCTTAATAGCTTTTTGTCCCTCTAATAGTTCGAGTCTCAAGAAATCATACAAAAATTATTATTAGCCGATGACAATTGTTAAAAAATAAAATATTCGGTGTACAGTATATAAAAAAAAACACCTGTCTAAATAATGAACATGTAAATTATGGTGGCCCCAAAAGAGTTTCGTAAAATATGTCATATCGATATAATAATAATCCAGTCATAATCGAAAGGGGAAACTGTAATAGAACTTGCGAAGTCGGATAAATGATTTAAATTTATCTTGTTGAATCAAATCAATTGGTACGATAAACTTAAATTGACAGGGGAGTTTCTTAGTGACTGATGATGATGTGCAACCACTGTTTTCCTCGGTCTTATGTAAGTTTTAAGAAAGTAACTTCATTGATTCAATACCTATTCTACCGCAAGGCATCTTTCTTCAATTGAAGAATTATTCTTACATCATCTAACTGTTTGTAATTCCTTATACATGTATAAGCCCAAATTTTTTATGTCGGAGACCTAATCTGCATTTTTTGGAGGGGTTTTGTATTATTAATTTTTTTTTTTAATATTTTTAATTTTCGGTTTTTAGAGATGTTGCCACTACCAACAGAATTATTAATTTATATTCTAACGAATAGTGCAAGAAAATCATGTCACTTGGATTGTCAATTAATCCCTTCCACTCGGTCCAAACGGGATTTACTTTTTAGTGGTCATTAGTTTCCACAATTAGAAGTTAGGACTTACCAGTATTCAAATACAGATGGTTAGAGGATACCAGACAGTTAGTCAGACAGATAAACAAATAATAGGACATACAGACAGACACAGCTGGAGATAAAGAAATATCTTTACGTGTAAAATACCTAAAACCTTAATATCCATTTTGTAACCAATTTCCAAATGTCACCATTTGCTACCTATGTAAGGTGGGGTCCGTAATTTTGCAATTGGCTTAACTTTTTATTGCTATTAACTGCACTATCTATCAATTTGGAAACTTCTCGAACAAGGTCTTTTCCCAATCTTTCTATAAATAATTTAATTGCAAATTAAATTAATTATAAGTAAATTTGCAGTTTCAAACAAACAAACAATAATAAACAATAACTGCAAAAAAAAAATAAAAAAAATAATAATACAACTTCGTTATTAATCTAGAACCACTAGTACTCCTAGCTATAATACATACATTCTACAAGACAAACAATACACATTGAAATTCCAATACCAATATATCGGTTAGCCAGATAATCATCTTATATACCATCTACCTTTAATGACATATTGATTAAGAATATCACAAGTAAATATGAATTCACCAATTTGTATTCCATTTTGTAATGTAACACAAGATTTAATTCTTCTAGCAAGTCTTCTTAATTGTCTTTGTTTAATAATTTGTTTACGTTTCTCTTGCTCTTGAGTATTAGGGAAATCACTTTGCATAAACCCTGGTGGTGACGCAAATTTATCAAATATCTGACTTAATTTATCTTCAAAATCATCATCTTCTTCTTCTTCAAGTTTAACATCACCATTATTAACTGCTTGATAAAATTGTTTATATTTATCATATTGTTGTTGATTTATAATCTTATGATTACGTATAAATGACTTATGTTTATTATCTGGTTTATAATTTGGATTTTGTTTAAAATCACCAAAATCCCATGAAATTTCATTTATGGGATTCTTAATTAAATTGATTTTAAAATCAATTGAATTGTGGAATTTATCAGTATAATATTTTAATAAGAATTGTCGTTTTTGTAAAATTGTTGTAATATTCTTTGGTATTCCAATTATTGGAGAATCAGGGAAATAATCTTCACTCTTACCACTGCTATCAATAATAGATACTTCTTCTTCTGAATCTTCAATCTCATCATCAACTACAACACCTGGTTGTAGCTGCAGTTGTTGTCGCTGTTGCTTCTGTTGAGAAGCAACGGGAGAACTAGAAGAATATTGAGTTGATTTAACCGGACTAAGCTTCGGAGATAGTCTTATACTACCCAATTTAATTCCTGCTTTGATAGGACTTAACTTATCAACACCAATCAACTTTCGTTTTGGACTGAATATAACTGACACCTGAGAAGAAGAAACAACCGAGGGTTTACGCGACAATGATATTCCACGCGTCGGTGAAGATTTCATAAGAACGTTCCTATTCACATCTTGTTTATTGTCTTGTGAATTCTCTATTATAGATTCTTCTTCATCATCATCATCTGAATACTGAGTAGGCATAATATGTCGATCTTCATACATTGATTTACTTTTCCTTGCATTGGTTTGGATATTGATCTTATTTGAATTAATATCATATACTGATCTAGTTAAATTAGAAGAAGAAGGTATTAATCTTGGTTTCTTAATTGGTGAAGAAGATAATAAGATATCTTCCCTACTACTTTGTCTCTTTTTCATTCTCTGTATTTCTTCATCTTTAGATTGAATTGTTTTCTTTAATTGAATAATCTCATTTTCAAGATCTATGATTCTTTGTTTATCTTGTTTTCTTAATTCTTCAAGTTCCTGAGAGAAGAGTGAAGATAATTTGGATGAAAACTCTGGTCGTAGTATTCCATTCTTGTCTCCGGTTGCTATACTCTTGTTCTCTCCTTCTTTACCCATTGTCTGTCCGTTCTCCAATTGAACAAAGCAAAACAACAACACTCCATAGTAATTCTCTGGTGCGAAAAATTTCGACACCAAATAATGGAACCAAAAAAAAAATAATGAGTCGAAGCTCATCTTTAACAAAACAACTTTTCTTATAATTCCAAGTCAGATTACACAACTCAATTCATTCCCTCATGTTTGGAAATACACAGCAACAATCAACAGCCCCTTCATTTGGGGGATTTGGATCTTCTTCTTCAGGCATGAACACTGGATTCGGCGCTAAACCAACTTCTGGTGGTGGATTGTTTGGATCATCAACTGCACCTTCAACACAACCACCAACAAGTGGAGGAGGATTATTTGGCAATAAGCCAGCAGGAACAACAACTGGTGGTCTCTTTGGTTCACAACCACAACAACAGCAGAGTACAGGAGGTGGAATGTTTGGACAACAACAACAGCCACAACAACAACAACAACAACAACAACCGGGTGGGTTATTTGGGCAACAAGCACAAGCACAACAACCTGCAACTGGTGGGCTATTCGGCGCAAGGCCAGCTACAACAACTGGAGGAGGATTGTTTGGCCAGTCACAACAACAACAGCAGCAGCAGCCTGCTGCTGGTGGATTATTTGGAGGTAGTTCAAACACGGGTGCTGCTGGTGGTGGAGGGTTATTTGGTTCGAAGCCAGCTGGAACAACTGGAGGAGGATTGTTTGGCCAACAACAACAACAGCAGCAGCCAGCTGCTACAGGTGGGCTATTTGGTCAACAACAACAGCCAGCTGCTTCTGGTGGATTGTTTGGACTGAGCACGACTGGCGCCAGTGGAGGTGGTTTGTTTGGAAATAAACCAGCTGGTACTACTGCTGGTGGAGGATTGTTTGGATCAAGTGGAACTGGTGCAACCACTGGCGGTGGGTTATTTGGTGCACAAATGCAACAACAACAACAGGCTCAACAAATACAACAACCACAATTGACAGCTATGACTAGAGTAGGAGATCTTCCTCCAAATATAAAAAATGAATTAGAACAATTTGATAAATATATAAACACACAACATTTGATTGCAACAACTTTGAATTCAGATTATACCAAACATGATTATTTAATAAATACAATTCCAAAAGATATCAATTATTTACATAATAAATTATTATCAACTAAGCAAGCATTAAGATTTGATTCTGAACAATTGGTACAACTTAAGAATTTGAATAATGAATTAACTGAAGATATAACCAAAATCATGCAATTGATCTTACAATTAAGTACTCCGGGAACAAAATTATCAAGTTCTTTCCAATTGAATGAATTTTTTATTAAGAAAATTAAGAAATATTATAAGATTATAAATCAATATGAAAATATGGTTAATGAATTAGAACTGATTTTGACGGGATTAGAAAAGAGTTGTACTGAAGGTTTTGGGAATTTATTTAGTATTGTTCAAGTCATAAAATCTCAATATGGTTTGTTTATGGAATTATGTGAGACTATGGCTCAATTACATAATGAAGTTAATAGATTATCTAAATAGACAAAGAGTCTTCTTCTTCTTCTATAGTAGTTTTATTCATTTTGTATTACTAGCTTTTATAATAAATTTGGCATTTATATCGTATAAACTTTGTATAACAATTAGTAGTGGCCATGGGATGCGCTTAAGTATTCCATCGCAGTCAACAAAAAAATCAGCCTCGAGTCGTTTCTACTAACTACGAAAGATAAAACACCAACCACAGCAGTATAATGTCTCGAGCGGATTATCTATCTAAATACCTTAATTCATCTTCACAGGAAGATAACAACAACAAGAAGCAAAAGAAGAAGAAGAAATCCAAAAAGCATGAAATTTCAACTCTTGAATCAAACATTATAGTTGAAAAACCAGACTATCACCAACTAGAAGACAATGGAAATGAAGAAATACTAGAAGATATCGAATCATCTGAATACAATGAACATATGCCTGTGAAAGTAGATATACCGACAAAGAAAATCAATAGAGGGTTTAAGAGAATAGATACTGGAACAACAGTTGATTCATCATTAACACACCCTTCCAAAGAACAGAAAGTACAACAGGAAACAGTATATCGAGATTCTTCAGGTAGGATTATTGATATTGAAGCAAGAAAAGCACAATTTGAAGCTGATAAATTACAACAAGAAGAATCAAAGAAGGTTACTGAAATTAGATCTACACCAGAAGAACAGATACGACAAGAGAAACAATCATTTAAACAAAAACTTTCAAATTTTGAAGATCCATTACTTTCATTCCAAGACGAGAAGAAAGAAGTTTTTGAAGATGCTAACTTTTCTAAGTTTGTATATAACAAAGGTATTAATCCACCAAATAGGTTTGGAATCCCTGCTGGATATTTCTGGGATGGAATTGATCGATCTAATGGATTTGAAGAATTGATGATGAGAAAACAAACTGAAACAAGTTTTAAGAAATTGGATTCTTCAATTAATGAAACTTATGAACTTGATTATGACTAGACTCGCCTTCTACCATTCGTATAGACAGTAAATAGTAGTAGTAAATAGTAAGAATAAATCATTTGTTTCTCATCCCCATCCCCATCTCATCTCCATCCATCGTATAAATATAAAAAAGCTGGAGTAATTTAAAATTCCACATGCTGCACTAAAAAAAATTCTGATTGGGAAGAAGGATCTTAGTAAATTATGGTACCCTTTTTAAGCTACAAGGAAATAATGTCAACAATACGAGAGATCCCAGGCTATTATTATGACCAAGAGAAGAAGAGATACTTCAAAGTATCAAATGGAAGTGTTCTGTCTCAATCTCAACTGAAATATCATAATAATTCAATCCAGAAAGAAAAGCGGAAACAATCATTTCAAACAAGCAATAATCAAATCTCATCAATTAACAGCAGAAGCAACAACAAGAAGCAGAAGAAGAAGCAAAATGACAACAGATCAACGATAACTAATCCACAAATATACAAACTACTACCCAAACAGAAAAAACAACTAGCATATGATCCTTCATGTCATCTTAAATTTTCATTATCGTCTACCGGCCTATTAAATCTAAAAACTGGTGCAATAGATTTATCCAAATTATACAACAAAGATGATCAAATAGATATATTAAAATCCCAAACTTCATGTCCACGATATATCCCAGAACTCGTCCCTAGAGGAATAGTCCTCGCTCAAATCAATAAACAATTATTATTTGTCCATAGAATCCCCATCCCTCCTCCAATTCCAGGGGATTTAACTAAGAAGAGATATCCCAAATTATTAACCATCCAAAATATCCGGAATGGGAAAGTTTATAATATCCCACAGTGTTGGAATTTCGAATGTGGGGGATCTACATTGAATGATTATCTACCGTCCGATGCTCTGATTATGGAAGATAAAGTTATTCATAATATCAAATTTGGTGCTGAGAATAGTCATATCAATTTTATTCAACTTATAACCGTCCAGACTGGGTTGGGGTGTAGTACATTATTACGATTTCATGGATGTGATGTGGATACATTGTCTACTTTTCATTATACTGCTGATTTCTTGCGATTTGTTAAATTGAAATCAGATAAACTTCGTTCTAAAATTAAACAAAGATTGAATATATTATTCGGACTTGAGAGTGTTCTGCTTGTCGAAGAAGGATCTCCTCCTGTTTGTTCTATTGATGAAGCAAATGATACATTGGAAAAACTCCGGAATTGTAATCTATTGGATTGTGAGAAGTTGGTCCAAAATCGGAAGTTGAAAGATTTCCTCCATTTTCGAGATGTCGGAATTCAGGAACCAATGATATACCGGGATCTTATTTGCTACAAAGATGATTTGAGACTTGTTGCCGGATATTTCCACAACGCAAATGAATTGTATCTTATAAGTCTGCAAGGGGATATAATTAAGATTGTATTCACAGTAAAGAAAGGTCAGCTAATCTTCAATAAGCTATTTTATGCTTATAAATCAATGAAGCTGAGTAGTATAAAGGATATCTATAAGCTAAACAACTATGTGTTTGTAGGCACAGGGAAATCGTTACTCAGGTTTAAAGATAGTGATCTCGAAGAGTATGGTTCATCCCAAAAGTCAGTCGGATGCCTTGAAGTAAAAATAGATTACGTTCGGAAATTCATTCCCTTGAGTATTGATCAACATCTTGTTATTAAACAAAACAATATTTCTAAAATCCACTATACCGGAGAAAATACCGTAATCGAACAACCCCATAGAAGTTATCTTAATGACAACAACCCTCATCAAACATTTGAAATATTTAATAATCATTTACTCTACAATATAGGAGAAAATGAATTCATAATTGAGAATCTTAATCGGAATGATGGGGATAATTTAACTAAATTTAAAATTGAATTTAATTTTCAAAAATGTGGATATTTAAAGGGGTTTAAATTGATTAAAATGATTCAAATGAAAAGTGAAACTAATAGATTAAGGATTGGGTTTACGTTTTTGAATCAAGATGAAGATACTACGATATTTAATACTTATGAAATATAAGTAACATTTGATACGAGAAACTGTGGGTATTTATAGAGGGAACCGAACGTAATTGCAGAATATGCCTACGGGCAATTGGGATCTGCACGAACGCAAGGACCACCTTGTGGAATGCTTTCGCTGTGCACGTTGGGGCAGTTAGCCTCGAATTTATAGATTTCATATAGTCACTACTCTTTGTATTGATTACATAGAATAAATAGTACAAGAATTTTGAAAATAGCTACTACAAACATGAAAATAAAATTCGTATATACGTATAGAAGACACATATTATAAAAAAACAACTTATAAAACTGGAAAAATCTTGTCGTTAAAAAATCTATTAAATTAAAGCAATTAAATTGGTTTTTATCAGTTTACCATCAATCAAAAATACAAAAATCTAAAGATAACTGGGTGTGAAAAATCAAACACAAACTAAACTTGCCCGATGATGATGACAATAGTACATCTATTTCTTTTGGATATAGTTCAAATAAGAATTATAATTGAAGTTACTGAACTTATGATCAATATCCAATAATAATTTAATTGCATCTTGTGATTTATAACAATATTCAGCTGGTAATTTCACTAATGGATTGTCAATTTTTGGAGTGTCTGGGGAAAATTCTGATTTGTGCATAATAATTAAACGGTCATTCTTTCCTTGGGAATTATACACTTGATCATTAGTCAAGTTATAAACACCAGGATATCCACTAACAGCTCTGAAATTAGATTCACGAGTAAGTGGAGGGGTTAATGGGAAAGATTTTTGTAAAAGTTCATAGGAGGCTAAAGTGAAACCGAATTGTGGGGATGATCTAAAAACTCTGGCAATAGAACCTTTGAAGAATGCTCCTGGACCTTCTTGTCTAAGAATAGCAGCTCCACAATCGAAAATCCCCTTATATACTTCGGTCTTCTTACCAGCAACTTGTAATCTAGTCTTAATAACATCTGCAGGGGTGGTGAAGAAAGCAGCTGGAGCTCCAGCAAGAGCACCAGAAACTAATAATTGCCACGTAGAAAGTCTCTGTTTCTTAGTTGAATCACTTGGATCAAATCCAAATAAATGTTTCTTCAAATTAGCATAAACTGGGAAATAAATGGCCGAGAATGGCATATCTCTTAAAAGACATGCACTTGCACCCTTATAAAGACCTCTTAATCCTAATTGTCTAACAATCTCAGCACCACCTAAATGTTTAAGGGGAATTTCCCCTGGTCCTACTGGTTTGACATTACCTTGCATTTGTAATCTAATCTTAACAATTTCCAAAGGATTAGTGAAAATAACTTGACACCCACCAGCAGTCATACCAGCAGTAATTTCCCAACCCATGGTAATTTTCCCATCATCATCAGTACCAATCTTACGAACAAGATCGTTAACAGTCAATTTAATGGCCTTTTCAGGAGCGACCCCGACTAATTGAGCACCTAACCCGGAGTATAAACCTCTGAAACCTTCAGCTTTAAGAATCTTTTTGAAACAGTCAAAGGAATTGGCATATAATGAATTATGTTTTTGAGCTTGCATTCTTGTTTTCACTAAATCAATTGGATAAACTGCAGTTGCACCAATACATCCGGCAATGGATCCCAAAAAGAAAGAATATATGGAATCATAAATTGGCCATAATGAGAAATTATCGGAATGTTCACCACTTCTATGACGACTACTTGGATGTTCATAAATTGCTGGTAATGTGGCTAAATTATTATCAACATTTGGATTTAAAAAGGCAATAAGATCTTTACGAGGAACACTGTCGTCAGACTTTCTATTCATCAAATAGAACAATAAATCAAGTTCTAAGCTGGAAACATGTCTAAAATTGGCTGATCTTAATAATGGATCAGTTAAATGGGCATATAAATCTTTCTTGTTGATAATGATATCATCTTTATCTTTAGTGGTTGGAGGAGTATTAACAATGACTTCATTGATTAAATCAACTTTCTTTAAGGTATCATATACAAATAATAAATCAGCTAAACTGAATTCTTTCTTATCTCCAAAAAATTCGGTAACATGAGTCAAACTATTTCTTAATTTATTCGAAATTTTATGACTTAAATTGGAATTTAACAAATTAATCATTTGTTGACCAGAGATTGTGTTTCTCTTTGAACTTACCAATTCAAAATTACCAATTAATTTGGTAAGTGGAAGGAAACTAACCAAAGTTGAGAAATGACCGAATTCAATTGCTCCATTAGGTTCAAACAATTTTGGTAAGAATGACCAATTTAACTTTCCAAGTTTTTGTTGATAAGCTGGGTCGATTGAACTGTTAAGACTATTTAAAGCTTCAACACAATCACTATACTGAAGTTCATGTTTCACATTTGGACTGCTTGTAAGGAATTGATATAAAACCTTATAATCACCGTCAGGCGAGGTTAAAGTGTCTATAAATTTGACCCAATCAGTTTCATTGATATATCCTTTTTTGCTAGTATCTGCGATTAAATATAAAAGGGAGAATGCTTGCTTTGGGATATCTGTTTGAAACGGAGATAATATATTAACAAAATCTGGTAGAGTCAAGATTTTTTCTTGGTTCGTACTTACAGATGCAAATTGATTAAAAATTTCTTTGGCTTTAAGTTCAGTAGACATAATGTTATAATATGATTATGATATGCTAATGAAATGACTTTAATGACAAAACTATTAATTGGAAAATTGACAAAGCCGATGAAATAAACTTAAACTTAATATTCCAAGATTTTAAAGAACAACAAAAAAAATTTTGAATTGTCTATGTGTGAATTTAGTGGAGGTGGAGGGAGGGGGACGGACGAAAGCGATGAAAAATTTTTTTTTTTTGTTTCTCGAAACTTTAAAGTCCTATTTTCGGTGATTAACAACAAAAAAAATTCCAGTTGTAATTATTCAATTGTTCTGGTTTACCGCGGTAATCTATGATTAAAAATGCAAACAAAATAAAAGCCAACTTAAATTGAGATGATGTATATCTATCAAGATGGTTTTATAAAGCAATGGGTATTTGAAGCTAAAAGTTTGTAGTAGTAAACAAAAAGTTAGAAAAAGAAAAAGAAAGAATAAAAAAGATTTTGAAAAATTTCGATGAGTGGATTTCAAATCAAAGTCAAATGTGGTTCTTTATATTCTCTTGTGACAAAATAATATCCAGTTTCTTTTTCTTCGGTGAGTTACTTTCTTTTTGACTGTTAATTTGCCTTAAAATCTATTGATGTTTGGATTTTAGTTTCGGTATTAAATCGTAAAAATTAATTGAACCGGAAAAATGGAGAAAATATTTTTTGTGTAATTTCTATTCTTGTTTGTGACAGGATGATTGAACAAAATGACTCAAATTTTTTTAATATTTAATCACCAACCAATTAAAATTAATAATAGCTTTTAAACGGGCCACAGTTGATCTGTGAATTTTTGACAATACAAATGCACAATGGGATTAAACACCTGATTTCAATGATATGTGAGTTGCTACACCCTTGAAAATTAAATCAGCTAATCAATCTAAATAATTAGAGTTAGTAAAACCTGCTTGGACCGACGGGTAAAATTGAAGTAACTTGCGCGTTTCTTTACTATATTTGTGGAGATCATTTACAGAACCCGTTTAAGGAGAAGCTGGAGTAACAATGTATTTGTGGTTAGTGTCTAAATACCACAAAAAAGATCGGGTCGGGATATTGATTTAGGTTTTTGGTAATTGGTGATTGTTGGCCGTTTTATTGATTGAATGGAATTAATTTCATATTTTTTTTTTGGCAACACAAGTAAGGTAAACGCGATTGTATAAAACGCTCGTAATGCCGATCTTTTTTTTTATAGCTAGATGAGCTGTAGATATGAGACATACCCTTTGGAGTACGTGGTACTGTAGTATCCTCTTGGATCAATGGATTGATGATTGATATATAAACTATCAGAAAACATCAGAACAGAAAACAAACAAATCATTATTTTTTTTTTACAACAAATTGAATTCAATTTATTTAAGAAGAGACAACATAATGTATTTTTTTTGGACTTGTTACACGTCATTTTCTTTTCTTTAAAAGTGTGATAGGAATTATAACATACTGTTGCTACTTGTCTCCTGGATATCTCCAGTTGTACACGTAAGTAAGTACCATTTGATGATGTTTACTTTGAATGACTCTCTCAAGTATCATTTTTTTTATTTTGCAGCACACCTGACGTTTTCGCGCTAAATTCCGTAAATGGAAGTCAAAGCGGATTTTGTAAGAAAGAAGAAGTATTTTCAACCGAAAAAAAAATGAATAGAACTTAATCTCTCTTTACAACTCAAAATCTCTCAACGGCTTCTTGACGGTATCGGATAAAAGGTGATTTACGAAGATCTAATGACATATGCTTACATTGATATCGATAGTTGAAAACTCAGTTTCAATTTACAGATTGTAACTTGGTTGCTCCCAGTTGACTTCTCATGACCAATAGCTCCATGTTGTATTTTTCTGCCACCGCGGCTTTAATTATTTTATTTTTTTGGTTGTTATTGCATTCGAAACAAAAAGAGGGGGAAGAATAAACTGAAAACGGCATTTAACAAAGAGGGTTGTCGGTTAAATTAGGAATAAGAATGCCCCACTATTCCTCACTCCGAAGACACCAAAAAAAAAAAATCCCAGCTCTCATTTGTCCCCGGATTTTAGATTTCGTAGGGAGCAAGTATAAACCGAGGTTCATCTTTTTGGTTTCTTACATATCTGTATCATCTATGTAATTGTGACAATCAACCGGTCCAATTTGTTGAACCGATTCCTTCTTTAGTCATTCTTGTACATAAATCTAATTACTCCAACAAGAGACATGCATACGACACGACCAACGGCAACCATTTCACAAAGAAAGCTCTGGATATTATCAAATTTTGTAGTAACGCAGATATCTGGGGTTTATGTATATGGAAGTAATTTGTGGTAAATTGGCCTTGCGGTGTTGAAAGATATTTTTGGCCTAAGAATAATTTCTCCAGACTTTTTGCAAAAAGTTTAGTAAACCTTTTACCTGAAAATAACCTCATAAAAACCAAGGGTAAAACTAGTTGCAAGAAGCGTAGACAGAAGGCAACCTAAAATTATACATAGAAGGGTTCATTCGACCATAGCGAGCTGATTCTTTAGTAAAACAGAAATTCGCTTAACTCCCATGAAGCCAAACCGCAGTATCAACTCAAGTACGAGAACTTCCCATAGTTAAGCAAAGTCCAAGCAAACGCTTCATGCAAGGCCATTTACAACCCAGTGGTGTTTTACGAAGAGAACATCTCCATTGAACCTTCATCTCATCCGAACTGGTGTCTGTCATATTCCAAAATTGAATGTCGCGTCAAAAATCACACTATAGTCATGTGATATTCACGCTCCAAACACGTGACAAAATTTCCAATCGAGAAAAGCCCGAAAAATTTCAAATCCCTGAGAATCAGGTCATTTACTAAGCTACATGTACAACAAACACTTCAATACTAAATATCTATAATAATGGCTACCGGTGCCCCAGGTATGTAGAGATGTCGCTTACGTGCAAACAATCATATACTAACATATCATTTTCAGGTGGAAATTTCAGAACATGGACCCCAACACCTCCAGAAAGAGGTTCCTTCCCTCTCGACCATGACGGGGAATGTAAAGAACAAATGATGAAATATCTTCAATGTATGAAGTTTACAGAAAATAAGAATGCTCCAAATTGTCGTATATTAGCAAAAGGATATTTGAAATGTAGGATGGATCATCAATTAATGGATGAGTCTGATTGGGATTCTTTGGGATTGGTGAATTTGCCAGGGGAAAGAGATGTTGCTCCTGAGCTGTTAATAAACCGAAGTACATCTAAAAAAGAGACGCAGAGTACTGATAAGGTGTCGTCAAATCCCTAATTATGATTACTAATTTTCAATGGAAATACTGTTGGACTTGTAGAACTTTTCCAAAATTCTTGTATATATAGTATAGTTAGATCTAAGATTGAAATAACTCAGTTCAAAAACAAACAAAAGTACATTAAACTATACAAGAAAACAATAATCGTTTACAAACTCTATACGTGGCCATCTCAAGCTAAGCATGTTTGCAAATTGCAACTATTCATGAGATTCAGTAGAAGCTGAGTTTGCTGGCCTCTCTTCCGATTTAGGCTTATCACCTCTGGTCGAACCTCTATGGCCACCTCTCTGAGCACCTCTGTGCTCGCCTCCTCTGTGGCCACCTCTGTGATCACCTCTGTGTCCGCCTCTACCTCTTCCATGACCTCTCTGAGACCCGCCTCTTGCTTGACCCCTATTTCCACCTCTTCTTGGACCACGGTTGTTCGATTCATCATGCTTCTCACTTGCTTCAGCATTTTCTGGTCTCGATTCTTGTCCCTGTTGCTCACCATAGAAAGGATATGGTTGTTGCTGCGGTTGTTGCTGTAAAAACTGTGGTGGTAATGGAATACCAGGAACAACAGGAATATAGCCATATGGGACCGGCGGAGGTGGGAATGGAACCCCATAAGCTGCACCTGAACCAGCACCGACTGGAACTGGGACAGGTACTACAGCAGGAATTTGCAGTGGCTGTTGCTGTTGCCCTTCATTCATTACTTCGGAATAAATTTGACCATAGATCTGCTTGGCTGCTTGTGGGTTACTAACACCTGGTGTATCACCTTCTTCTTTATTATCTTCATTTGCTTTCAAATCTTCCCCTTTCTTCTTGACTTTTAATAAAGATAACAATTCATGAGAATTCTTTTGAAGAACTTCATTGGTCTTTTGTTCAACCTCTTGCTTCTTCTGGACTGATTGTTGCTGTTTTCTGGCTTCAGCTGCTTTGATTCTTTGAATCTTTTCCTCATGAGAAATATGCTTTCTACTTCTAGAAGCTTGGGAATGAAAAACAAATTGACGGTTTGTCAAGTTCAAAACTAATGAAGAATCAATAGTTAAACCACGATTGGTTTTTAATTTACCATTCATGGTACCACCTGATAATAATGGTTGATCAAAAATAATACCTAAAGAAATCTTTGAGCCATGAGTAATAATAGAAGCAACGGTCCCTTTAGATAAAATTGGGACTTTACCAAAATCTTGAACGTAAACAACACGGTCACCTAAATCGAACCTTTGTGCACTTAATAATTGATAGGATTCGCTCGCATTTAAGATAGCTTCACGAGGAACACCTTTAATGTCTTTATTGATAGTTGGAATTTGATTTAAAATGTAATTTTCCATGTCTTGTTCAATTGCTTGGAAACTAAACTTGGTTAATGACTCACTTTCCAAAGATACGAGAATCAAGTCTTCTTTGGCTTCCTTTAACCATTTTCTAACTTCTTTGATTTCTTCTGGGGTCAGAATATCCGAAACCTTAGGCATGGCGTTTGACTTGGCATATCCTTCCAACTTTCTGAACAATTCAGGAAACTTGGTCTTGTATGTATTGATCATGTTGATCGCTAATGGGGAGAATTCCCAGAATCTACCATTGGCCAGTTTTCTAGTATATCCTAACGCTTTTTGTTTCTTCATTTCAAATTTCAACTCTAACCCAATATTGGTCTTAGACTTTTCTTCTTGAATCATGAATTGACTTGTGATCCTTGACAATAATAATGGACTAATTCTAACCAATTTGCTAACTTCAAAGGAAGGAGCATATCTAATTTCCCTATTTTCCATATTTACTCTCTTTTTACCAATATTTGGTTCAGCAGTTGATTGAATTTTAAAGATCTTGATACTCAACTTATTATCATTATAGCCAACAACAGTCGCTGGACAACCATAGGCCATATCACCCAAAAAGACAACTTGGGAATTCAATGGAAATTCTTCTTCAATAGGTAATGGTGGTCTAGTAGCATATCTCTCGTCCTTATTGGCAACTTCTTTGACAACCAATTGTAAAGGATACACTTGAATGTCTTTCGAATAAGTCTTAACATATGCACCCTTTGGATTTCTGATCAACCCAGAAACTGGCTGAACATGTACTAATCCATCAATTTCACCAAACTTGACACCTCTGGTTTTATCCCATTGAATCCTCTGGTATGATAAATCTGATTTATAACTCCTCTTTTCTTCATTATCTAATTCGGCAGTAATAAGCTTTCTTCCGTGGGCTGTCTTGACTAATTCGTATTTATTTTCACCATCCTCAACTTTCACCACTCTTGATTCTCTTAAGAATGGCCATCTGGTATAGACAATCTTGCCGAGGAAGCTTTCTGCAAATTGATGAACTGACAAATCTTCCCATACATTACCAAGAGTAAGAACCATAGATTCGGATCTCGAAGGGAAATTAAAGACTTTACATTCATTAGCAAGCAATTCTGCTTGGAAAGGAATACTGTTTAAAGTTGGGAAACCTGCTAATAATTCAGTACCAGTCTTGGCACCTTCGATAAGACCATACTTGTATTCAGCTACTTCACGTAATTTATACTCTTCTTCATAACAACTGTCATGTTCAATATCATGGAAGAATCCAGGTAATGGGGATGGGAACACTCTATCAATCTGAGGGTTGCGGATAAATTTAATGTTATATCCAAAGGAATTTCTACTTTTCTCTTCAGGAGTTAACTTCTCTTCAATAGGAGTCAATGTTTCAACTAATTTATTTTCATCAACAAAATCTAATAAGACGACTGCTTCCCATGTAGCAGTTTTACCGTTCATATCAATATCCACTTCATGAGGATAAAAACTAATGATAGGAGATTTTTCATCCGTCATTAATGTTCTATAAACAGGAGGCATTAATTTTTTCGATCTAGCAGGCAAAACGGCCATCAATTGTTCAAACGGCTTGAATGGACGTGATTTTTCAAAAGTTATTTCTTTCTTATTTTGGATCATTTCATCTAGACCAACTATGATATCAGAAATTCTTGGTGCGTAGTGGTATCTATAATACCAATTCCATGATGGTACACCTTGGTAATAATAATACAAAACCCATTGCAAACCCTCAATATAATGCAGGGTGAGTTCGACTAATTTTTCACGCTCAGTAATTGGGAAACCCAACTTGTCTTCATAATATTCACTCTTCCAAGACAAAAATTTCTCATTGTAAATGTCCTTAGATTCTTGCAAGAGATCTTCAGTTTCAATCAAATTTGCTGATTGATAATGTTTGATAGTCTTTCTCAATTCAGCCACACGCTCTTCATACTCATCATCACTCTCAGATGGAATAAGTCCATCTACATCTAACTTTGCAACGTAAGTATTTTCCGATTTAGAATGAATAAGCAAGATACCAGCTTCTAATGCAAACTCTCTTATAAAATCCAAATTCCTTTCAACGTCTTCGTTATTTAATTTTAAAGAAGGTAATTTGCCTTCATTTTCCAACTGAACAATTTCTGAGACGGGTCTTGCGGAAATCTCCATCAACCAAGGTTTGATGAAACCAACTAGTTTCTTTTGGTCCTTTAAGATTAATAATTTCCCGGTTCTTTTTCTCTTCTTTTCACCACTTATGGAAATATCTTCAAGTCTTTTGTTGAACCATTCAACGTCAACTTCTTGTTTCTCAAAGTTCTCCAATTCAAATTCGGCCAAATAATGTATCCAGATACTCAATCTTTTTAAATTAATTTTACCTTTTTCATTAATATAACCATCAGAATTTTTCAATGCTTGCTTGAAGGTAGCAATCAATAATGGGAAAGCACCCTTATTAATAAATAAATCTGGTAAATTTGGTAAGAAATCATTACCAATAACATACATAATTAAAATAAAATCATCCAATATCTTTTCAAAGTCTAATTCAAATGTCAATTCTCCTTCTAATTCTTGAAATTCTAATGCAAGGTATTCTCTCAATAACGATAAATGCAACAAATAGAAAGTTTGCTCATGCAATTCTTTGGCACTTGCTCTTTGACGTCCAAACAGAACTTCTTCTCTTAAAAGGGCAACATGAGAGTCATGAGTTACCAAACCTAACATAATTAAATCTGCATCTAAACCATAAATACAATGTCTAGTATTTGGGTCGTAATCATCTTGTGATCTAGTTGATCTAATAAACTCCATAATTTTATGTTCCCCTTCACCAGGAACTTCATGTCCACTTAAAATGATTTCAATATTGGCCCACCTTGAATCTTCAGTTATTTTTTTGTGAATGAAATATTTTAAATTATTGGTTAACTTAGCCATAAATTCCGTTCCAGGGGTGATTGAGTTGGAGTCAAATGGGTCTTCTTTAGGAATATCTTCCCCATTTTCAATAGCTTTTTTCAAATTTTCCTCTGCTTCGTAGGCAGTTCTAAATCTTCTTGCACGCTGTTGATTCATTTTTGCTCTAGGTGCAACCCCATCAATTGCCATGTAGAATGTTTTTTGGGGCTTAATAATTTGAAACAAATGATCAATATAATTGAAAATAGCAGCATACATTTGATCATCAGACAATCTAGTAATCGTTCCATCGTTTGAATGAGTACACGTATGTAAAATTGAGTTCATATCAAGATATAAATTATCAAACTCAGGGATCTGTGGCGCCTCAATAAGTTGAGAAATCAAGGGCCATCTCTCCGAGACAAATCTAAAGAATTTTGGAATACCTTTAAAAATTATGTGTTAGTATTCAATTGTGACTAGAAAATCACTTTTAATAATAGAAATCTTATGCATACCCATGATGATTTATTTGTTATTGATATATTGATATTTTCTATGAAATTTGATGGTGTTGTAAATAAACTGTTTCTTTCCTTTCCCTGTTTTTTTTTAAAAAAATAAACAATGAAATGAAAAGCGTATAAGAAAAGAAGAAATGTTAATCAGTGTATCTTCGTTAATAGTAATACTAATAGTACAGTTAGTAGCAACACTCCTTAAAACAACGTAATGAATCTTCTGTTTTGTTAAAGAAAAGTTGGTTGTAAAAAAATGGGATACGTTTATTTTTCTCCAACGAATTTTGCTTGTCTTGAAATTCTGTGATATTATCAAAAGTACACGACCATGGCAATATAGGTTGCAAATTTTTTTTGAATTATTTAGTCGACCAATTGCAAATCGTTTCAATTTAAACTTGTTTATATTTTCTTATAATATAGAGAACATTATACCCATGAAAGTGCTATCGGTAGATGTATAGAGATAAAAAAAGAAACCAAACAAAAAGAGAAAAGAAACCAATATCAAAAAAAAAACCCAATCAACTAACGAATTCACCAATTCAAATGAATTGGCTATGAGGTATATGAGATTTTCAACGAGTCAAAAAAATTCGTCAATGAGCTCACATAACTCAACTGTTTCCGAAAATTCTTGAGAACAAATGTTGCCTTGAAGAATCAAGAATCCTCTCAGCACCAATGGTGGCGTAAGCAAGTCCTAAATATCCATATTTCTTTGCAGCCTTCATACCTGAAGATGTCACTTCTTCAACTGTAGACATACTTGCCTGGCCAAATGACCCTAAACCCTTTAAACCCATTCTACTATATTTATCCAAATCCGATACCCCATGTTTGCCATATTTATTCAAGGAATGCCAGCCAAGCTTGCCGTACCTATCCACATTCTCCCAACCAAGTTTAGCGTACCTATCCACGTTACCCCAACTGTTTTTACCATACTTTTCCAAGTTATTCAAACCCTTTATTCCATATATATTTAAATTATTCCAACCTATTGTACAATATTTGCTCATGTTATTCCAACCTAACCTACTGTACTTGTCTGAACTATTCAATCCTAATCTGGAATACTTATCCAATTTATCCCAACCAGTTGCGAAATAGCTTCCAATTGCAGTATATCCAACTTTCGAGAATTTTCCTATGTTTATATTTTCTATCCTGCTGTAAGCTTTCAATGCCTGCTTTCCCATCGCATCTAGCCTTGAAATTCCAATTTGACCTAAGTCTTTGAAATCCAAAAATTTCTTAGTTACAAACCTTTGAAGCACAGGCGCTTTATTCGCAAAGCTAGCACCGTAAATCTCTACTCTTTGTTCAAACATATGAGACAACTTATTTAACCTACTTACCTTTGTTTCAGCCTTCGCAAACAGAAAAAGTCCCCTATTGGAAGCCTGCTTCTCATACAACATATTGTCCCAGAATTGTGATAATAAGTCTAAAGATGTGGTGGGAGCTTGCTCTGCTTTGGTATAAAGATAATAGTTCAAACCATATCCTAATGCAATAATACTAACCACGAAACCAAACAAGTAATAATAAAGAAAATCAGAGTTCCTTTCTAAAAATAACTCTAATTGTTCGAGACATTCAATCAATACCTTCTTTCGTTTCATAACTTTTTGAGGACGTGATGAGATAGGGGTCACGGATGGAGTGGTTTTGGAATCATCCGATATGGCATATACGTAATGTTCTGACGGAGTTTCATTAGCCAGAGAAGTGGCGTTTTCGTCTGTAGGAGTTTCCTTTAATTGCTCATGTTGATCTGATATATAGGTCTTTATCCTTTCCATTTTCTCCTCAGCATAATTTGCATTGAAATCATCGGATTTTTGGCTTATCAATGGATTGAACCTAGATAAGTTTTCAAAAAAGCTGATTTTTTCACCTATTTCAGGAGCCACCAGGTTAATACTTGAAATAGATTTTATATCACTAGGATTGGCTGAAATTGGAGAACTTGGTGTAACTGGAGATCCCGGGAAGGGTTCCTTCTTGTTTGAAATATCTTCTTTAGGTGGCGACATAGGTGGCTCACAATTCTCGTCACTATTATGGAGATACAGACCATCAGTTTTAATTTCTGGAAGTTTAAGAATGGAATAAGCGACGGAACTCTCTCCAAGTTTGTCCTCACTCATTTGCAATTGAGTGGCAACTGAGTCATCAAGAGTATTAGTCTCATTTGCGGGGGATGCACATTCCTCCTCGATCTCAGAGCACGAGGAGATAACAGCCCAATCTTCGTCAGTAGCGGTATTGTTAGGTGACTTAGGTTCGAGTGTATTCAGCATTGTCTTGATAGTAGTACCTGTTTAGTTGTGTAATATCCTAAAAATGATTGCGTTTTCTATAAGATAAGTGAGGAAGCCAAAAAAAAATTAATTGGCCCCCCAATCTATAAAATAAAGGGGGGAGGAGTAGTAAACAATTTCCTACCCCCCAAAAATGAAAGATTTGGTCGTGCACTTTCACCAATAAGAGATAAGGATAATTCAAGGCATAAAGTGCGCGACTCTTTGACACATATTATGGACATGTACAATATAAAGCCTTACTATCCTTGGAGATCTTTAGTCAAGACCCTATGGAGAAAGCTTTCTATAAATGGGTTACCATAGGAATCCCATTTAGAAACCCCACAGCACTAATTCATTAATGGTTGCAAGAAATTATTATGTTCACATTGTGATTTTGTCGGTGACAGTCAATTTTTTTTGGTTTCATCTGACAACTAAACCCGAAAATTTCCGGGCCAGAGTTCAATATCTCATGGTTCTAGCTTAAACTAATATCATCGAGGGAAAGTAGACTCGAGCTTGCCGTTATAACGAAAGCCATTGGAGGTAGCCTTTTGAAATGAGCTTGCCATTATAGGATAGCCATTGAAGGTAGCTTTTTGAATCATGAAGATCGTCCATGTAAGCATTTCTGCTATTTTGAAAGCTATTGTGAGCAAAATGGAGTGAATTTACATTTCTAAACTTCTGGTATTTCTCTTCACTGCAGATACTTCGTTTTAGTATATATACCTAGGATGATAAGACCCCCAGACTCTGTTAAGATATGAATACTCGTTAATTGGGATAAACTAAGAGATTCATTAAGAATGGCTACGGTGAAATCTACCATGAGATCTGGAGATTTGCCAAAATCAGAAATTTAGTGGCTGATAGGCTTAAATTTCCTACTTGCAGCAACATGCATGTTAATTCTTGTATACCAAGGCAGATTGTGGGGGGAGGCAATTGAAATATTCATGGCAATTTGCCACAGAAAAAGCTGGGTATTTTTACCAGACATGTTGACCCACCTTTCTGCATACTGAAGTAAGATCAGCCAAGACACAAGGGTACGCCTCATACATATTCTTTCATCATTATACAGCGCCACATCTTGGCTAGCCACTTCAGGAATGAGCCTAGATTTACACAGCCGAAATGCACTTGTAGTTATTTGCTGACTAGCACAAAATCATCTTTTAGCTTACCCCTATCTTATGATTCTTCCTAACATTCAAACTCGAAAGCCTAATCATCCCCTCTTGGGTGAAAATGTAAAATTAAGCAGGAATTGGTAAGAAAGTAGTGCTTCAAATTTGGACCAAGCCCCAATAACATGCATTCGGCTTGTGGTGGCTTATGATTCAGAAGCAGCCCCCAAGCGCGATATTAGCTACTCTTTCTTCCCCTGTAGTTTAGATGAATTATCATTGCAAAATTGCAAGCTAAGTTTTCGAAACTGTTAGCCATTAAAGATGTAAAATTACAAAAGGTTCCTTAAGAGAATATACCCGAGGTTTGAATTAATTTCAATCCACTATATTGAGGTAGAATACAATGCTGTTACCGAGACTATGGTTCCAAGAAATATCCCAGTTCTAGGTCACCGCACGAGGACGCAAGAGGTATGAATTTAGATACACCTTGATCTGACCAATACTCCTGGGTAATCACTAAGACATCACTTAGAGTATACTAAAACATCCAACTGCTGAATATAAATGGGATCAGCTCCTTTGGTTTAAACTTAATAATATTGAACTTTTGAACCAGCCATGTGGCGAAAAATTGTTGTTCCTGATAGTCACTGGAAACTTCCACATTTTTTTTCCTTGTCGTCTCTAGTTCACTTTTGTCTTGTCACGAACTCATAAGTTTCAGTGGTGCATTTGGAACACAAATCACATTTAAAAGATTTGTAAATTTCTGAGGTCTCTTACCAATTTGCTTATTTTCTTAATCATTCATTTTTGTGATACTTCGTAAATCTTTCCTGTAAGAATATTTTTTTTGTCCTCCGCAGGAACAAAAACAATTTCTCGGTAAACAACAAAAACTCGCTTGAATCAATGCAAGGCTGTAAAAAAATATTCTATTGAGAAAATAAATTCTTGCAAATTGATGCCAGAATATGTAGGAACAATCCCAAATCAAAAATGAAGTAATTTTTTACAAATCATCCATTGCAACGTAACGAGCCGATAATTCCAGCCACTACTTGCAAACCATTTTGCCTTTATACTAACATCTAAGATAGAGCTTTTAGTCCTACCTGGTAAATAGAATTAACGACTCGAGTAGGCTCACACTTAAATTACAGAGACCAAAAAGATTTTACTGTATAATTAAATTATAGATATAAGTTACATTTGAATATTTATTACAGTTTAAAAAAAAACCTGGCTAGCTAGTAGATAAAAGCAATCCAAACATTTTATGGGTTGTTTCCTATCAACCCTTTCTATAATACATATTTTTCCAAATAAAATCAAACAGCAAATACATATAAAACACAATGAGAAACAATAGCTTTGTGCTGCAAAAACTTATTCAAATCCCACAGCCAATGTTAGCAAATCTTTCACCTTCATTGAAACCAGCTCTAGCTCTTTCGAGTATCTATCATTAGGAATACCTGATCATTTTTGATTCTCTTTTGTATCCTTCTCTAAATCGGATAATCTGTTGTTCATTTTCACCAAATTATCTTGAAGCGAATGTGTATAGGACACTAGATCTTGGTACTTGGAATACAGGACATATCCATCCTGGGATGGTTCACCCTGGATCTTCTTTTCTTTAAGAGCATAGCCGTCCATGTTTTGATCTGATGCTGGGCCAACAAATCCTGATGCATTCCTCTGGAGCGGTGTAGCTGGTACAACTGAAACACTTGGAATTGGTAAAGGGGCAGGCATTGCCGGGTCGTGTTGAGTATTTCGTGGGATGGGAACAGGTGGTGGTAGTGGTGAAGGGACCAGATAAGTTACACTTGGCTTTCCTACTACTGACGCAGGAAAATGATTGTCGTGGTTAGGCGGTTGACGAATTGAGTGTATTACTGTCCCTGATTGTGGCACGAGATTCAAGTGTGCAACATTGTTAAGATGGGGTACGTTGTTAAGATGGGGTACGTTGTTAAGATGTGGAACATTATTAAGATGGGGTACATTGTTAAAATGTGGCACATTATTTAGCTGAGGAGGGGGATGATGCACATTGTTCATCATAGGGCCAGTGTGAGGTATGTTATTCATTGGAACGTTGTTTAGTAGTGGAATATGAGTAATATTATTCACTGAATTTTGGGGGTAGGAATATTGTGGAACCACAAAAGGAATCGGATGCAGAGGGGTAGGTCCTGCTATGTGATGGACTGTAATGGGTTGGCTCTGCGAGGGATGCGAACCATGATGTGGTACAGGTAAAGGAGGATATGGATTGTAGTGCATAGAAACCTCATCAGCAGAACGACCATGTGCTCTTATAAATCCCTCATTGTTCATTGGTAAATTATTTCTTCCTTTCGATTCTGGTAATGGTGGAGTAGTTCTTGCTTCTTGCCTCATATCATAAGGACTTATTCCCTTCTCTCCACTAGAGCCGCTTCCAGCACTGGTGCTGTTACTTTCATTGGATCGCGACGACCCCACATTTGGGAATTCATAAGGTGTGTTTGGACCCAATACTCCATCAGCTTTAACAGAAGAATATACTGAAAGAGGTTTTATGTCTTCTGACCTAAAAGCAGAGCCTGTGCATCCATTAGCTGAGTTCTGATGTCTAGTTAGGGCATCAGGCCTAGCAAACCTTCTAGAACATCGATCACAAACATACGGCTTTTCGCCAGTGTGAAGCTTTTCATGTCGTTTTAAATCATGGATTCTCCTGAATTTCAAATTACATACAGGACATATGTGTGGTTTTAATGATGAATGTATTAATTCATGACTTACCATGTTGTGTTTTCTGGTAAATCCTTGTTTACAAGTTCTGCAAAAGAATCTTTTTGGTAATTTGACTTTAGTGTTTTCATTGGGATTGATTGAGTTTGGTATTGATCGTCTTCCCATGTTTGGTGATTCTGTAGCTATGTTTGATGATGGAACTCTAGCAGTTCCATCCAAAATGTTGGAAATTGGGGTAATTGGTTGTATTCCTGTTAAATTTTCTATTGAGGGTAGAGTTGGTCGTGGATTTGGCTGATGTCGAGAGGCGCTGTCCAGGTCCCGTATTCCCTCGTACTTGATGGACGAGTCAATAAAACCTTCATTTCCCATTTCAAATAGTCAACGTAAGTGGTTTTGCTTTGTTTATCACTCAATAACTCTTTAGTCGAATACAAGCTTATTTAAACAGACGTGGAAGATTTGGATATACTGTTAGTATGCTGGTGGTTTTGAATCCATAAAAACGAAAGCAGGGTGTACCAGGAAAAGGAAAAGTATGGAAAGCTATAGAATTTTAAATCAGGGTGGTTGTCTCATTCTTCTAGAGAAAATTGTGTCTTTTTTGGCTTGTTCTGTGTTTCTATCTGTGGTGTAGTTTTTATTTCGAATATTTTTTAAACTATTCATTTATTTTTTGTGTTAGTCTTAAAAAATAAAATATTTTTTTGACTAAAACAAAATTTAAAAATCACAGTAAAGCTAAAAAAACACCATAAGAAAATTCTCCTTTTCTTGTTTGACTTTCTTGGTTCGTACTGCGGCCAGAGTAATACTTTACTAAGAATGAAGAAAACATGATTGGTCGTCATTTCTGAACCCTGATCCAGCCACTAGTAGGCAAAGTGGTTAAAAGGCAAATGGGCAAAAAGAACAAGTCCGTAATACCGTTGGTTGGCCTATTTTACGCAGAATGACTTGAATATTTAAATTAAGGACATAAATTTATCCCTTTATTAAATTTTTAGCCGAACTTATAGTTTCATCTCTTAGTAGTGTGACTAACTGACAATTGACAAAAAAAGCTTATACACTCATCCCCTACCCTTTTTGATTTTAAGCTCCACTACAAACACAAAAATAAAATTGGTTAGATTCGTATATCAAGAAGTAGAGGGGGAGATTCCTCATGTACTAGACACCAATGAGCCATATTTGCGATGAAAACCAGAAATGTTCTCTCATGATGGCTCAAAATGCATCATTCCTTTTTTTTGCGTTATAAGATATGATTTTATTTTTTTTTGGATATTGTTTTCAATTAGGCGAATTTTGAATCAAAAAAATAAAATTGTGGACATCTAGGAATGACAAGAAAAAGCTAGTCNCGAATTTTGAATCAAAAAAATAAAATTGTGGACATCTAGGAATGACAAGAAAAAGCTAGTCAGGCCTGGAAATAACACACACACACACACACAGCAGATGTGATAATAATACCACAACCTAAAACCAGGGGGTAATGGGTATATCAGGGAGCGATTGTTGACTGATCAATTTATTAAAAAAAAAATTCATGACTGAATTTGAGCTGTGGCCATTTAGCATACAGTAAAACCAGATGACTTCAAACCTTACCGCGAGTTTCCAAAACTAATTGCATAATATTTTTTCTAGAAATCCGGATTAGGTAACCAAAATGGAATATTTAAAGTTAGCTTTTGGTACAGTCAACTATTTTTTGATTATTTAAACTTCAAACAACTAACCCTTATAGATTTAGGGAGAAATAAACGCAAACTGGTCACACATTCCCGCCATGGATAATGCTTTACCCATGTCAACCAAGATAATTCGAGTAATACGAGAACATTGAGGAGCGCCCCGATGTTTTGTAACTTGATGATCTATTTCAACTGAGTTTGGATCGTTGGTATAGGGGAAGACCAACCAACAACTTTTACCCCATGAAAATAGATGATCTTTCACTTAGGAACGGATGAAACGTAACAAGTTCCATTTTTCTCTTAGGCTTCAATAACTAAAACATGCCACCCTTATTACCAAATGGGGGCTCAAGGAAAAGCTTGAATATTCTAACCTTGCGAATTTAATGCCTCTGATCCATGATGATTCGTTTAATTTAAAAGCTCCTTTTTTTTGACTTCTTGGCACAACCAACCAGACTCTGGGAAACTAGTATTACGAAATATCTCCAACAAAGCTAAACCAGTTGTTGAGAGCAAGAAACTTTATACTCTCATATGGTCTGAGAATATTTACAGGGCCTACATTGATTGGAATTCGAAAAGAGCGCGTCACATCATCCCTAGAAAGCTTAATTGACAAACTTCTTAATTAATCATGTAGCTCTCAACTTTACTGATTTTTATACTTTTAGCTATTTTTTTTTACTTGTAGTATTAGAATATCTAAAATTAACGATTGCCGAGAGATCTGATAGAAAACTTCTATGCGGATAAAGAAAATGTCTATAAGCTTTCAAGAAACTACATTTGCTGGTCAATGAACTCTGGGACCCAATTATCTTGCCAGCAAATAGAAAAACCAAGGAGTACGTTAGATAATCATCTTGTGACTTTCAAACAAGGATTTACGAGCCATAGTGTATGGCGGTTGAATCTCATTCAACGGCTGCAAATCTGTTCAAAAAAAAAAAGTCACAAAATACTCCACTTTATGTTTACATCCGGAGTACATCTTCCATTACCTTATTCTTCTATTTTTTGTATTTTCTTGGAAGATACAATATCGAGCAATTGATATCATTCCCCGCGGTATTTTGATCTAGTTAGAAACAAATCGGATTCCCATCACATAGGAAGACAAGCAATTTTTGGGAAAAGAGACAGGTTATTTGTTAAAGCTTGCACGGCGAATTCATTTCAATTGGAGAAATGACTCGGATTTGACTTCCTATTCGTTTAAATCAAAACTGACCCAGGAAATGAACTTTTAGTAATCTACATGCAACACCACTTACACAGCTCCATGGCTGGAGACTGAACAAACTTTAAAAAGACTCCCAGTTCTTTATACCCCACAACCGAGTACGACATCGACCAGTCCCATAGTTGTTTTGAAGTATCCTAGGTACAAGAGTCCAGTTTGACTGTATTCATGGCATTATTTCTGAATAAGAGAAGCATAAATCTTTATTTCATGAAGTTTATGAACATCAAGAGCCAGACGAGGAAAAATGGGCCCATGGAATTCTTATCAGAGGACGATTCACAATTTCAGGACAAGTGGCGCTGTACTTTACCACCCATATCAGATATGACCTTGAAATTGGAGACACGGCTAATCACCTTTAGGTCATTTGCCAACGGAGCTATTGCCACAAGAATAAAGACGCATCACTACCAAAGAGGCATGTCACAATGCTAAATATAAATCAGGAGATACAATACCTTTTTTTTAAAAAAGATATGACCCTATTTCTGCGATGACTTTGGGTTTAAATTTTGTTCCAACGCAACTTGTCTCCCTTTCCAGACGCTAAGCGATGCAAGATCGTGAAGGGAATTGTATGTATGGCCCTGCGCGATGAAACATTAACTTTAACTTCTTGATTCCCTATCAATTAGCAACCAGACAATTTCAACATAGTTAACTTGCAAGTAGTTAACCTAAGTAAGAGAAATGAGATTTATACCTTGCGTATAAACCACAAAGCTTACTATGAATCCTACAGATTCCTCCATGATCTGACCACCCCACTGGTTTTTTCAGGATTCGTGTAAACTGTCCCCAAAAAAAAAAATCCCACGTTTAGAGGGGGCTGTTCTTACTAATGGACCTGCGTGCGCATACCATAAAACACACCATCTCCTGCATATTAACGTTCTTTTTCCCACACCTCACTTACCCAAGCTTCATGATATGACAAGTTTTATCACAAATTACTTGCAATTGTCTTTCAACAAAGTGTAAGGATAACAAGAGAGACAGATATCTAAATCAATAAATTCAGAAATCATCCAAAAAAAAACCGTTGAAATTCCCATCACCGAGAGGTTTTATGATTTCGAAGCCTACCTCCATGTGGGAGAAAAAAAAGGTTCAATCTAATCTTTTGGTTGGTCACATTTTTTCTGTCTTTTTTGTCATGAATTTTCGGGATTTTATTTTTCTTGTTGTATTTTTGGGCTTTTTTCTAAAATTCATGACGACATTTTTTCACCAAAATGAACCTAAAAATTAAGGTTAAATTCTTTTACAAGAATTAAAATTTATTATGTTTGTCAATGTGGGAAGAGGAACGTTGTCTGTTTCACATTAATCAAATGAAAACATTCTCTTGCTTTCACAGCGCTTACCAGCTTACTTGACTAACTCTCTAGAATTCATTAGCCTTTTCTCATTCTATCTTTTTTTGGTTTCTCAAACCCCCTTAAATTAAATTTATAGAAAGTGCGTGGAAATGAAATATTTTTTTTTTGGTTTAAAATAAAAAAAAAGAAAGAAAAATAAATTGCACCACAAATTTCTGAAAATGGGACTAGACATTTTGAAAAGTGTACTGATTTACGACAATTTCAATTCTAGAGCTTCACAATTTAGAAAAAATGTCAAAGTTTATTTAAAAAAAATGGAAAACAGACGTAGGCGACCACTTGATTTACGTTACTTTTAGTCAATCATACTTTTACTTTTTGTGACATAGACATAGAATAACAAACCCCATAAATTCAATTTTGTAATACTTTGCCTCCAGAACAAAAGCCCCCCGTGGAAACTGAAAACAATTTAACTCATTACATAATTAGCAAGAACAAGCTATAATTCAAACTAAACAAAACAAGAGAACAAAAATTGTAAATCCCACTACCAATCTAGTTTTAAAATATGGAAAAAAAAATAATTAAATTTCAATATTGAAACAATTGAGGAGGGGGGTGGTGGGAGTAGTAGACATTTTTTAATTTTGCTGTATAATTAGTATTCAGATTATTTTTTTGGTTTCGTCATACCAAATGTGTGTCTGCATTATTCTCTGCTTTCGCATAGTGGAAAAAAAGATCAATCTCTTTTTTGCAGTGCAAAAATGTCGTTTCTATTCTTCCCCTTATCATTTTTTTTTTTTCCTTTTAAATAAAAATAAATTTGACATTTTGTGAAATCTTTTTTAAGTAGAAAAAAACCCCCCTCTAAAATATTTGAAATAAAAAAAATGGTTTAAATATATAATCACTAAGTTACTACTTTAAATAAATCAAATAACCATAACGAAACGACATTCAAAGGAAGAAAGGGAAAAAGCCAAAACAACAGCTAGAACTCCTAGATTGAATCTTTTATATATAAAGGGAGCAACATTGGGTAAAGTTCTATCTATCCATATTAATTTGTAACTCACTTTGATTGAAACTTAGCAGCATCAAGTTTGTGCTATTTATAAAAAATTGCAACAGTCAAAGACAACTACTGGAAGCAAGAGGACACAACCAACGAACATGTCATCCTTAATTTCCAATAGAAAGAGACCAAGAGGTTTCAGTGAAACCTTTGAAGCGGCAGCAGCAGCCAAGTCACACATGAATGGATCTTCAACTACAACAGCAACGACAACAGCAGATGCAGTTAGAGCTGCCAATTTAATTGATACACAAGCTAAAACTTTACATTTGAATTTTGATCCAAATATTTCAGAATCAAGTTTATCTTCAAATAGTATGAATTCATCACCTCCATTATATCATCAGCAATCTAACCAACAACATTTTAGATCCTATATTAGCTCAGATACTATAAATGGTACAGAATCAACAATGAACACAAGTATCTTATTTCCAAACTCATATGGTAGTAGTAGTTCAAGTACACTTAGACAAAGACCAAGGTATAGTAAAACGAGAAATTCGTTTAGTAATCCGTTCTTACTGACGGCAGAAGCTGATGAACAAGCGCTCATTGCTGATGAAGAAGAATATGACGACGACGAACTCATTATGGAAGTACCGGATGATGAGAATGATGATGATGAAGACTTGATAATCTTGGAAGAAAGGGATCTTGTCCCCAAAACAAAGAGATACAATAGTGATTCACTGTTAATTTTTGATCAAGATGCTCTTGTCGCTTACAATATGTTTAACGTCAACAATTCATTAAATCAACAACAAAGTTGGTATGAAACAACTAGTACTATTCCAATAAAAAAACAAAGAACCAATTCATTACCTCAATTACCACAAGTTAAATGCTTTTATAATAAGATACCCAACAATTACATTCTACAAACCCCCAAATTGGGGAATATTAAAACAAACATTATACCCCACCAATCAAACTTACCTCCGTGTGATGATGAAAATGGTCATTATATAATCAAGGTGAATGAACCTTTTGCTAATCGGTTTATTATAATTAAATTATTAGGACAAGGCACATTTGGTAAAGTTGTCCAATGTTATGATAAAGTAAATCGTGAACATGTTGCAATCAAAATTATTCGTAATATTCAGAAATATCGAGATGCAGCAAAAATTGAATTACGTATCTTGTCAACTTTGAAAAAATTCGATAACAAAAACATAAATCATTGTATTCATTTACGCGAATGTTTTGATTTCAGAGGTCATATTTGTATCGTTACTGATTTATTAAAGATTTCATTATACGATTTTTTGGAAAATAATAAATTCATATCATTCCCCGGTAGTCATATTCAAGCAATATCTAAACAATTGATACGATCTGTCACATTTTTACATGATTTAAATCTAATTCATACTGATTTGAAACCCGAAAATATATTATTACATGATGATTCATTTGTCAGGAAAACTCTCATAAGTTCAACCATAATTGCTTCATTCATCAACCTTGGGTCCCATTCAAATAAAAAAGTTCCTAAATATCTGAAAATCTTGAAAAATCCATTAATCCAAATTATTGACTTTGGAAGTGCCATATTTAATGATGAATATCATTCTTCCATAGTTTCAACTAGACATTATCGTGCACCTGAAATTGTGTTGGGAACTGGCTGGTCATTCCCTTGTGATATGTGGTCAGTTGGGTGTATTTTGGTTGAATTATTGATTGGAGAACCATTATTTAAAACTCATGATAATTTGGAACATTTGGCCATGATTGAAAAAGTATGCGGTTATAGAATAGATAAATCAATGGTTAAACTATCTAAAGAGAAAGAAAATGAATGCGGATTAGAATATTTCACTAAAGAATTCGTGACGGATGATGACGAAGATGATGACGAAAATAGTAGCGAAAGTGATGAAGATGACGACGATGATTTAATAATAGATAATGAAACAACTTATGAAAACTCCTTAACATTGATCTTCCCCAGTAATACCACTCCACAAAAGTTTATTAATTCGGTTCAAGAATTATCAAGAATAGATTTGTTTATAAGTTCGCGATTAGGTCTTGATATAAATTTCGATTATTCATTGTCAATGAATTATGAAAAGAATAAACATATAATAAACTTTGGGAATTTTACATTTTGGTGGTTTTTCATTGATTTATTAAAAAAATTATTTGTCATTAATCCGGAAGACAGAATGACTGCCATTGATGCATTAAATCATCCATGGTTTAACTTGGGTATTGAAGATGAGGGAACTTTATAAAGGTATATATTGTGATTTTTTTTTTATTTCTTAATTTGGTTTTGATAAATGTTGTTAGCCATATGATGACATCACGGGTTTATGAGAGGAGGAGAAGTTATTTCAGTTCTTGAAGGAGGGTGGTTCTTTGGTATTTCGTTAGTTTGTACAGTTTTTAATTTCTTTGCTTTAGCTTGTTTATACGTTTGTAATTTCATGTCAATTATGGATTTATATCTTAGGGATTTTCAAATTTGCAACCATTTTTGTAGAAAATGCATCCCAACCAAAATAATTAGGTTTTTTATGTTGCATCGCATAGTCACACTTGCCAAATATCCCAGGGTCCAAAACATCCTTCTTGGCTTTCTCAAACAATAGCAAACGTGGGGTTTGCCATTTGACAACAATGTTTCTGCTTTCAATTCAAAAGGAAAGTCAAACGCTCAAGCCAAGGAAACTCCGTTGATGTCAATAGTTCATCAATTTCTAATACACTGACATGCCGACTGTCACTCGTTGAGTTTCATGTATTGTATTTGCGCGGATCTACATACTCCATGCCGAATACCACAAAAATAAAAATGACGTCATTATTTCAGGAACCTCACCCGGTGGCAGTTAAAACTCCAAGAAACATTCTTGACGATTGTTCATGAATACTACAATGAAGATATACATGAAGAAACGCAGACAAAGCTTTTCATCTTTGGAGACAAAGCTAAAAGAGGTAAGCATTCCACGCACATACTCTTTGAATTCTGTACATTATCACATTTGGGGAAGGGGGTGGAATTAGTTAATTAATCTACAAAATCACAAGGAATATATATCTAGGTAAGAAGATAAGTTACGTAAACTAAGCCCAAACTTGAAGTTGTTCATAAAAGTCAACTCTGTTCTTGTTTGGATTACTGATATTTTGGGCACAATAATATCTGAGTTCATCAACCATAACTGGATGACCACATGTGACGAAACCAATAGAACCTGCTGAATTATTAACTTCTTCACGGACAAGTTCTTCAATATTTGGCCTACCTTCTTTAAACTCAATATGGGATAATTCTCGTTTAATTAATTCAACTAGTCTTGATTTCTCATGATCATCAAGTGTTTCTACCTTTTCCCTGGATGAATCTTTATCACTAATCTCAGATGAACTAATATCGGATCCAACAAATCTAGAACTGAATTCTTCTAAACAAATAAGATTATTTG